GAAAACTTAAAAGGAATTGTTAAAATCAGGAATAAGACAAGGATGCCTGCTATCATTGCCACTATTCCATAAAGTAATAGTTCTAATGGTTATAAAACAATAAAATAAGATATAAGCTGGGAAAAGACAAATTGATGATTTTTACAGATATTATTTGCTTAGAAAAATTCAAGGGCATGTGCTGAAAAACTAGTAGTATTTATAAAATAAAATGCAGTAGTGTTGCTGGCTCTAAGATCAAAATACAAAGACCAATAATTATCCCATTGGTCAGAAATAACCAAACAGAAATAAATAGAAAAAAGATATAATTTACAATAGCAACAAAAATTATATATTACTAAAGAAAAAACTAGCTGAAGATACAAAAGCCCTAAGGAGGAAAGGAGAAAACATCATTAAGGATAAAAAAAGGCAGACCTCAAAGTAATGGGACAGTATGTCATGTTCTTGTCTGGGAAGAATCCAGACTGAAAAGATGTCAAATTAATCTATTAATCCAATGCAATTTGAATCAAATCCCAATTTTTTTTATGAATTAAACAAACTGATTTTAAAAGTGGCATCCAAAAAGAACCAAAGCAATACTGAAAAAGATTAGGACCACTTTCCCTGTTAGATATTGAAGCTTATCACAAAGCTAAATACCCTGTGACCCAGCAATTCCTCTTGGATGTATGTAGCTTATTGTACTGTTTATGGACTCATAAATTTATAGTCAATGAATAAAAATATGGACTCAATGAACATATATCAAATTGATAATTATGATAGCCTTAAGAGAGGGAGGAGAATGAAATTAAAAATGAGAATAGGGGGATTTCATTTTTTTTAATGTTGGATTTTTTAACTATCTAATGTATAAAATGTTAACCTCAAATTCTAGGCAGTGGCTACATTGGATATTGATTGTTCTGTGAATGTTTCTGCATATTAAACTTGTCAAAATAAACCAAGAATTAGTTGATTAATTCTCAAAATAGAAACAAAAGCCTGCATTTATAGTCACCATTTGCTGGGATTTTGCTTTTTAAATAACACTATCTATCTCCAGATGTTTGGAAAGATAAATGGAATTTGAACTACTTCTGTAATTCTAAACAGGCTCATAAATATTGTGAAACTTTCAACATTCTAAACACTGTTTCTGACTATTAATTTTTCACTATTCTTTAAAGATTAGTCAGTTATCATGAATAAACCCAAGTATGAAGTGGCCCTGGGACCAGGATAAAAGTCTATTGGGGATGTGTTTGCAGAGTTTAGGTCCCAAGAATATATAGATGTTCAAACTATCTCCATCTCTTGGAATAAAGGAGGTTGTCAAGACAATGATACTAAACTTAAAGCAGAAGTTTGCCCCAGAAAAGCCTCCAGTAAACACAAGACAGAGTGATACAGCATGACTATGAAAGGCAGGGAAACAACAGCAGCTGGTCTGCATTTTTTTTCATAATAGTAAAGTCACAGACAACAGGAACTGTTTTTAAAGTGAGCAGATCCAGTGTGTTTTCTCATTCTTCATTTTCTTTGACTCCTGCAGTATTCGTACGATTATTTTACTCCTCTGGTTTTTAGGCACCATTATACAGCCCTGGGATGGTTGGCCTTCTGCTGATTCCTCTCACTCTCTGTTGCTAACAGCCCAGCTGCCTTATTCCAGTCCAGTCTCTGCTCTCCTTTTAGGAACTCATCAGCTTGTAAGTGCTGAACCAGTTATCACCTCAAAAGCTCTGTCTCCAGCCTGAGCTTCAGCTCCACATTTTCTGCCATTGAACTGTTCTGTGACACATCATCCAAACTCAACATCTACCCAACCTTTCATTTCCTCCCGTTTTGTCAGCAGTGTCACCATTCTCTTTGGGACAAATTCAGAGTCAGGCTGCCAGGTTCTCTGATAGCAGCAAGTGTGACTATCTCATTCACCACCTGGGGCTTTGGGTAGAACTTGGTCCATGCAGCAAGTTTTCAATACCAGTTTTTTGAAAGATAACATCCTTGCCTCATCCGTTTCCCCAGTACTATGAATCCTATCACTTCTTCCTCATTTCTGCACCTCTTTTCTGTTGCATTAGAAAAGGACTAACTTTATTAGTTCTGTCCTTGTTTCTGCTCTACTAATTCTGCCAAGAGAATGTTTTAAAAAAAGAAGGGGAAACGTTGGTCCAGAGGAGCTTACCAGCCTATTCAGAGCTTGAATCTGCTTATGGTGTTGCTGTAAAAAATACAGTTTGAAGTAATTCATCTGTTTACATCCTTCTGATCTAACTTCCTACCCTATCCAAAGCCAAATTCCCTTGCTTGGCATTTTAGGAACCTCCAAGTTTTTAAAACTTTTTATTCCCCCTTGGTTTTTATGCAAGACAAACTGATTTATTTGTTATGTTCAACAGCCCTTATGTTTTCACTTCTGTACTTTAAAAAATAATATTTCTCTTGTGCCTGGAATATTTTCCTCTTTTAATTTAAGTCTTACCAAGGCACAAAATATGTTTGATTCTCTCTGAGGCCTTTGTGAACTATCCAGGTATTCACAGAGAAATTCTGTTTTTGTGAACTCATAGCACATACCTGTTCCTTCATTTGGCCTTAACAACTGCCAACTTGTGAATTTATCTTTTTATGCTTATATTTTCTCCATCTTTTGAGATTTTCTTTTATAAATCAAACCAAATTCTACATCAACTGAGCAAGCACTATGTTTAAGATTCCTTTCCACTAGGCTAGGGAGTGCGAGAAGGGAAATGTGCAACTATAAAAAGGATTCTTGTCCAAAAGAAACTAAGTGCTTCCTGGCCAAAGAAGCTGTTCTTTGCCTGTGCTATCTGGGCTGAGCTAACTCAATTCTTAGGTCCTTGTTCATTTTTGAGATTGCCACACCTATATGTCAAAAGGGACAAGTAGGTGTGTCTTTCAGTACTGAGAGTCTAATATATAAATATATATATTATGTAAACAAACCCAAACATTCTAAAGCATAAAGTAAAAAGCACTCTTCCTCATTCCTCCCCCAATGACAGCCACCCTAAGTTCTCTTATTCCACCACCTAGAACATCTGTACCATGTACAAGCCTATACTGTTATTTATTTATTTTTTGTATCATTAATCTACAATTACATGAGGAACATTATGTTTACTAGACTCCCCCCATCACCAAGTCCCCCCCACAAACCCCTTTACAGTCGCTATCCATCAGCATAGTAATATGCTGTAGAATCACTACTTGTTTTCTCTGTGTTGCACAGCCCTCCCCGTGCCCCCACCAACATTATACATGCTAATCATAAGGCCCCCTTTCTTCCCCTCCCCCACCCCCTTATCCCTCCCTTCACAACCATCCTCCCCAGTCCCTTCCCTTTGATAACCGTTAGTCCATTCTTAGGTTCTGTGATTCTGCTGCTGTTTTGCTCTTTCAGTTTTTTCTTTGTTCTTATACTCCACATACGAGTGAAATCATTTGGTACTTGGCTTTCTCCGCCTGGCCTTTTTTCACTGAGCATAATACCCTCTAGCTCCATCCATGTTGTTGTAAATGGTAGGATTTGTTTTCTTATGGCTGAATATTATTCCATTGTGTATATGTACCACCTCTTCTTTATCCATTCATCTACTGTTGGACACTTAGGTTGCTTCCATTTCTTGGCTATTGTAAATAGTGCTGTGATAAACATAGGGGTGCATATGTCTTTTTCAAACTGGGCTGCTGCAATCTTACGGTAAATTCCTAGAAGTGGAATTCCTGGGTCAAATGGTATTTCTATTTTGAGCTTTTTGAGGAACCTCCATACTGCTTTCCACAATGGTTGAACTAGTTTGGCGATCCTTACTGCTGTGAGGTGATATCTCATTGTGGTTTTAATTTGCATTTCTCTGATGACTAGCAATGTGGAGCATCTTTTCATGTGTCTGTTGGCCATCTGAATTTCTTCTTTGGAGAACTGTCTGTTCAGCTTCTCTGCCCATTTTTTAATTGGATTATTTACTTTTTGTTTGTTGAGGTGCATGAGCTCTTTATGTATTTTGGATGTCAACCCTTTATCGGATTTGTGATTTATGAATATATTCTCCCATACTGTAGGATGCCTTTTTGTTCTCTTGGTGGTATCCTTTGCTGTACAGAAGCTTTTCAGCTTGATATAGTCCCACTTGTTCATTTTTGCTTTTGTTTCCCTTGCCTGGGTAGATATGTTCATGAAGAAGTCGCTCATGTTTATGTCCAAGAGATTTTTGCCTCTGTTTTTTCCTAAGAGTTTTATGGTTTCATGGCTTACATTCAGGTCTTTGATCCATTTTGAATTTACTTTTGTGTATGGGGCTAGGCAATGATCCAGTTTCATTCTCTTACATGTAGCTGTCCCGTTTTGCCAACACCAGCTGTTAGAGACTGTCATTTCCCCATTGTATGTCCATGGCTCCTTTATCGTATATTAATTGACCATATATGTTTGGGTTAATATCTGAACTCTATTCTGTAACACTGGTCTGTGGCTCTCTTCTTGTGCCAGTACGAAACTATCTTGATTATTGTGGCTTTGTAGTAGAGTATGAAGTTGGGAATATAGTGTTATTTTTAAGCATACTTTTTAAATAACAAGTCTTGAAATACTCATTTGTATACAACTCCAGCGGCTGGTTGTGGGGCTTAATATATCACACAGCTGTTAATTCTGGTTTCTTTTTTTGGTAGCGGCACTTATGTACGCATTTGCCTGCAGTTCCCACCGCGGTCGGGAGGTGTAAACACATGAAATACAAAAATAGCACAACGGTAACGAAGTCCTAAGCGTCCTGCGCCGAACGCGGCTGCGGCCGGCAGTACCGAGATCCACCCAGAGACCTCGACGCGATGCCTGCCCGCCGCGCGCGCCGTCTCCCTTCCCTCACCTGCCAGGGCGGCGCGGCCCTGGCCGCGCGCCCAACTCCCCGATCGCCCCAATTGGCCAAGGCGGCGGGGATTGGGCGCGCGCGTGCGCGCGCGCGTAGAGCCCGGATGGGCCGCGGCTTCCGGCGCGCTCTCCGCGGGCTGCAGGGGGCGCGCAGGGGGCGCGCACCGGGCGCACCGCTGCTAGCTCGGCTCCTCTGGGGCCTGCGGGGCGCTGTGAGACTGGAGGGGAAACGGGGCAAGAAGCCGAGCTTGAGGGGCAGCCCCAGTCCCTCTGACCGAGGTCCTGCCACTTTCGCCGCCAGGAGCCTCCTCCTCCGGATCTAGTGCGTTCGGGCGCCCCGGCGGCCTGGGTCCCGCGAGTGGAATGGCCGCCAAGGCCCAGGGCGTCGTGCTTCCGCGCGCCCCGTGAGGGGAACTGGGGAGCCTCAAGGGGTCTCCCACCCGACTCTAAACACGGAAACCCCAGCGTGGTGAGGATCAGGTATCGGCCGGGAAACGCGCGGGCAGCTCTGGGTTTGCTTTGTGCTTGGTGTCTCCAGGCCTGCTCGCGTTCCCAGCACGCAGCCTTTGTGCCTTTCGTGGTAGGGGGGCGCGGGGCACCTGCGCTTGGGTGTGGGTGGTTTGTTGGGAGGAGGCGAGGTTGCCGTCACCCAGGAGGAGGAGGAGGACGGAGTTCCGGGCCCCCGCCGGGGCGGGGCAGCGGGAGGCTCCCCTGGGCTGGGGTAAAGGTCACTTGGGCGGGGGGCGCTGCGGGCGCCGCCGGCTCCCGGCTCGGGGTCGGGCTAATGATGACAGGTGCTTGCTCTCTCCCTGTCGGAGCAGGGCGCTGACTGGGCTAGTTCGGGCTGGTTCTGTGGACAGGTTGACTCAGCTTTTCCTTCCGGGCTGGTCAAGTTCGGACACGTTCCTAGTTTGCAATGAAAGGAGCTAAGTCCTGACTTGCCTCCAGCTGGGGCTATTTAAACCGTGACTTTTCCCAGCTATTTTCACTGACGGTTGGAGATAGATACCTGTGGTCACCGACATACAGCACTTACTCTATTAATCCAGGTAAGGACTCACTTGCTAATGGCTTTAGTTTTATTAAAGGCGTTATTTAAAGACATTATATTTCTCATTTCTGTATGATTTTTGTCTCCTTCGCAGATGTTCCCTTATTTCAAGTTTTTATCGTGTGTTTTTTTCCTGCTCTTAGGCAAATGTGCAATACCAACATGTCTGTGTCTACTGATGGTGCTGTAAGCACTTCACAGATTCCAGCTTCGGAACAAGAGACCCTGGTTGGTATTTTTGTCTCAAGTGTAACTTTAAAAAAAAATTATTTTATGAGGTGAATTCTGTAGACCACAATTGTAGCAGGGCTCTTTAGGTGAAAATGTATGTACATAGCTTAAATCTGCCTCTCAGGGGTAACTGTGTGGATAAATACTGTAAGAATCAGTATTTATTTTCTCAGCTCTTTTTAGCCCATTGGATTTAAAAGTGAGTTCCATTACATGCTTAGCATGGTTACTGAAGTTGTTTATGTGACCGATTATTTTTCTATTTTGACTTGTCAGTATTTAACTTTTTAAATGGTTTCTGAAACTCATAAAAGTAATTCGTTGCAAAGATTTTAGGCACTTCAGAAACACAAAGTGAAAACTACTTTGTCTCATTTCAGATCTTTTCTATGTACATACCACATATATACACACATGTGAATTTTAATCTGTGTTACTGTCTTGTTCTACTAAAACAGGATTACATTAGAGGTGTTTTGCAAATAACATCCATGTCAATAAATAAAAACTATAGAATTCTTTATAATGGCTCCATAATATACCAGCATTAGTATACCATTTTTTAAATCTACAGTTTTACTGGTAGATTTTTAAAGTTGCTTTTAGTTTTTGAGCTTTATAGTGTTTTGTACATGTATCCTCACACAAGTTTTACGTAAAGATTTCTGTAGGAAAAATTTTACAGAAGTAGGACTCTAGGTCATAAACTGTACACATGTATGATTACTACTTGTAAATTGCTAACCAAAAGGTTTTAACAGTTTTCACTTCTGCCAACACTATTACCAGTTTTTATAATTTTAACATTTTTTGGGCAAAAGGTACTTTATCACTGTTTAAACTTGAATTTCTGTAATCCCTGGTGAGGTTGGGCATTTTGTAATTCATTAAATCATTTTCTTCTGGGATTTGCCATGTTTTATCCACTTTTTTTTAGGTTTATTGTGTTTTTGTTTATTGTAGTTTTCTGTGTTTCAGGTGTATTTAACTTTTATGTTGTCTTTTCCCCATTGAGAATGTTTTTATGAAGTCAAATTTGTTGACTTTTATTGGCTTTTGAATTTCATACCATTCTTATGAAAACTCACCCACCTCAAATTTATGCAAATACATTCCTGTATTTTCTAGTATTTAAAAATCTTACAGCTAGATCTCTCTTCATCTGGAATTTATTCTTTTTGTTCTATATGTTAATTAAGAATGGTATTCTCTTCTATAGTAGTTTTCCTGTTAATGTATGTCTTCCAAGTCTTAATAAAAAGTGATGGCTTTCCATTGCAGATTTTTATCTTGAGTTGTTTTATGTAGCTTGAAGTTACTATTACATATATAAAATTTAAGGAGAAAGGAAGTTTATGTCTTTTCTGAGTTCGTTCTTTAAATAGCTTGAATGTACAATGCATTAAAAATGTGTGATTGGAACAATTAATGATTTAATACTACATTTATTGGGTGATTTAAAATTTTTCAGTTGACAAGCTGGAAATAGGCAGCTTTGCTCAGTGTTAGTTAGATCCCAAACTGTGATGCTGTCAGATTTCAAAGTTAGACAGAAAGGTAGGAATATATCGAAGAGAGGTACATAGTTATCAGTCTGTATGGGGGGTGGCTAAGTATAAAGATAATTGAGTTTTGAAGATTTTGAAAAAGCAACAGATAAGTAGAGAAAGAGCATAAACACGTTACATCCCTGCTCCTTGCTAATTATTTTCTCAATACCATTTGCAAAGCCTGTAGATCAGGGTCAGGCACAAACTATATAGCCTATGGGCCAGATTTGGCCTGCTGCTTGTTTTTGTAAAGTTTTACTGAAAAGCAGACATGCTTATTTGTTTACATATTATTTATTCTTCTGAGTCAGACCATCTGGCAGAAAAACAAACAATTTACTATCTGGTACTTTATAGAAAAAAATTATCAACTGATCTAATTGGCTGGCTCCTTGAATACAGGTCATGTCTTCTCTCCTTTTTTTTTTTTTTTGTAGTACCTAGCACTGTCTGGTGCATGTAGAAGCTCAGAAATGTTTGAAAAGCAGATAATTGAAATGTAGATCAACTAAGAGGCAGCATGATATAATACGAAGAAAATGCTGGCTTGTAGTTGAGGGATATGAGTTACAGTCTCAGATCTGCTCTTAATTATTCTTGTCAGCTTGGGTTATTTTAAGTTCTCCAACTTTCAAGAACCCAATCTGTAGAAAGAAGAGATTGATAAAAGGACTCACTAAAGATTTAGTTTTTTCTCTTGGATTTTGTAATTTAGCCTACAGTAAGCTCATTGAAGTATTTCATTTATGGTTGAGTTTGTAAGTAGTAAGAAGAGATAGAAATAATTGGAGGAAAAAATAATTTCCACTGCCTTTGCATAGGTAGAATTTCAGATTGGAACTGATATTACTTGAGGAATCTAATCATTTGTATAATAGTTAGATTCTAGCATTTTTTTACCAAACCCCTTGACAGTCAGTGGTATTCAGTTTCTAGTTCTGTTGCATTAAGTGAAACCATGACTTGTTTTTGAGGTCTAACCTTGTGAGGTTGTTAAACATAGTGTCTATTGAAAAATCCCTTATGGCTGTGTTTGCTGCAGGTCTTAAAGTTCTGGAATAATTTTGGAAGTATAATAGCAACTCTTTGTTCTTTATAGGTTAGGCCAAAGCCATTGCTTTTGAAGTTGCTAAAGTCTGTTGGTGCACAAAAAGACACTTATACTATGAAAGAGGTAAGCTTAATTAGAGTTAATGAGATAATAAATGCCTTACAGGTTACATATAATTGTGGGGAGAAATTGGCCATATGGGATTTTTCAGTAATAATATTAAGTATTGTGTCATTTGGATTATAACTTGAAGCTGAAAGTTCTAATATGCTTGAATAGCATTTCACAGCTAGGTATTCAGAGACAAAGGGAAGCTCTGTATGTGTTACCATTTTTGTGGTGTGGGCCCACTTGGCAGATGGGTAAAGTCTTCTCAGATTAATTCCTTTTTAGAGTCATATTTTTAAATACATGAAACAAAACATAGGATTACAAAAGAAACATTATATTAAAATACAGTTTTGAAGGGGGTTGCCTAGTAAACATAATGTTCTTCATGTAATTGCAGATTAATGATAACAAAATAAAAAAAAATAGTTTTGAATAATGAGCAGTATAATTGATACTTTGAGATTATACCAAGCATAGTATCATTTGAAAACATGTGATTTTTATTGGTGGCAAAATCACAGGTTTTACTAATACTTTGTGGGGGTTTTGCCTGTATTTGTAATAGAAGGAAAAGCTGAATTTCCGTCAAAAGTTAGCAAAAATAAAGATAAATTTTTTCTCCATCCAAATTAATGGACCCCCTGAATCCTATCCAAGGGCTTCTTGGTCATCCATGGATGTACACTACACTGATCTTTCTGGGATAGAGGTGAGCTGATTCATGAACATATGTTCTGTTTAATGCATTCATTTCAGTGTATTCTCTGGCTTTAAGTTTGTGCACTGAAGCATGGTTTTCAGTGAGAGATTGGGCCATATAAGGCAAAATTTCAGTATGAATGAAATAATGCATCTTCCCCATCTCTCCTACTTAATTTATGGAGCTCTGATGACTTAAAACACTTAAGTACCCTTACATACATCAGGATAGTATGGCAGGAAGAAATTCCAGACCATTTTCCTTTTCAGCCACACTTGTTTGAATTTCTTACAGGATGTTTGGTAGGAATCTAGGTTCTCTTTCTCTTTTCCCACTGTCAGCCACCTTTCCAGTCTACAGTTACATAGAAATATTTCTTTTAAGTTGAAGGCTGCTTATCGAGGTAAGTCTGTAGAGTGCTTACAGGAAAGCGTCAAGGTAAATGATGTTTTTTAGGGCTCTTAACTTGAGTTTGACAATATGTAATCAGTTAAGGAAACAAACAAGTATGAATTTAGTATATAGAAATGACAGAATTGATCAAGGCCATATGTAGACTTAGAATACTTATGCTAAACTATAGCAGTAATGTATATATTGTCTGAAACAGTTTTTAGTTGTAAGATCTTTGTTCTGATGTATAGGAGAGCAGTGAAAGCTAGTATGGAGTAGTAGAAAAAACACTGGACTAGGAGTTAGAAGACCAGGTCAATTCCCTTATTTCTAATACAGTGGTAACAATTCTGTGAAATACCAGAAGAATGAGACAATTTTTGTAGAAGTACATCGTAAACTGTAAAACACCATACATATTTAGGTGATTGTTACTAGGTTTGTATGTGGATGTTTTAAAATATATTGCCTACTTGGTCTTAATGGAGCACAGAGAATATAACTTGTATATGCATGTTTCAAGGTTATTATTTTGATTATTATACAAATTATATTGGTATCTTCAGGGCTTTTTTCATTCACTGAATCCTTCCGAACTGTTGCATAATGTAGTTTGTCATTTTCCTGTCTTCCTCATCTGTGATGATTTCAGAGGCTGCTGAGATATTTGGTGTTTGGGGACTATTGCTAAATGCTTCTAGGTCACTGCTGTATTGTAATGGGTGTTTTTGATTCAGTAACTTTTTTCTACTATCAATGGTTTTGCATTTTGTTGCCTTTTCCCTTCTAGTAATAATACCTAGATACCTGAGCAGAATTAAAAAGTCTGCCAAAAAAAAAAAATACATTTTTTAAGGTTTAAGTAATTTGCAGAAGCAATATTTCTTTCCATCAAATGAAAAGAAAAAGATTTAAAAGCAGCTTTTTTAAGAGTACAGAATGGTTGTCATTCTACATGGTTGTGGATGTGGTTGCTGGTTGTTTAAACTTCTTCAGGAAAATGAGATACTGATTTTTTTAAACTAAATTTTCATTTTCTTGAATGCCCAGAAATCATGTTTCTGTTTCAGGTTATATTTTATCTTGGCCAGTATATTATGACTAAACGATTATATGATGAGAAACAACAGCATATTGTATATTGTTCGAATGATCTTCTAGGGGATTTGTTTGGAGTGCCAAGCTTCTCTGTGAAAGAGCACAGGTAAGTTTTTCAGTGTAGTCCATTGTAAAAAGCCAGCTGAGCAAACATTTCAGTTCACCCCCTCTCGTTCCCTTTTATCAGAGTAAAATTGTTACAATATATACAAGAGGTGCTGAAATTTAATCTCTTAGCAATATAGCATATTACTTGAGAACCTGAGTTCTAGAATCTTACAAAACCTGCATTTGAGACCTAGCTCAATTATCAGCTGTGTGACAAGGTAAATTGACTTACTGCAAGTTCTAAGTCTGCCCTGTTTATAAAGTATGGGCAATATAAGAACCTCATGGAGGTTATAAAGAGACAATGTGTAAAAGTAGCATTTGGCACATAAAAAGCATTTATATATTACAGTTATTGCATGTTAAAAATATTAGCCACTTTCAAAGATAATCTTTATACCACCCTGTGGTAAAGGTCTAAATTTGAGCCTAATTATTTCAGAGACCATTTTCTTTGTCATATAAACATTATGGCACTTAATCAGCTGAATTTAACCCAGATAACACTTCTGCAGTTATTCTACTGGGAGCTGTAGACACTTTTTCCTGTCATTCTTACTTTACATTTGGAATTCCTTGCCCCATTTGGTTTAGCATAGTCTGTGTGTAGCCTTAGCATGTGTATTTTAATAAATGGGGTAAATTCTTTTCACTGAAACAATTAACTATATCCTAATATTTAATGCTCAATATTAGAGCTAAAAAGATAATTAAATGGGATATTTATAAGAACATTATGATAAGCACAATACATATTCATTATTGAGTGTTCGGAAAAGACAGAAAGCTAAGAAGATTAGGGAAGAATGACTATCCAGTTGACCCTTGAATAACATGGGTTGGAGTGCCAGCCAACCCCTGCAAAATTAAAAATCTGCTTATAACTTTCAGCTCCCCAAAAACTTAGCAACTAATAGCCTGCTGTTGACCAGAAGTGTAACTGAGAACATAAACATTTTATTAGCACACATTTTATATGTTTTCTGTATTATATACTATTTTACAATAAGATAAGCTAGAGAAAAGACAGTATTTTATTCAAATTGTGGCAGATCTTCAAAACATTTTCCAGTATATTTATTGAAAAAAAATTTGCATTTAAGTGGACTGGCACAGTTCAAACCCATATTGTTCAAGGGCCAACTGTATTTAAAAGTCTGGTTAAGTAGTTTAATATGTTTTTGTGTTTTAAAGTGCATCTTTTTTTTCTCTCTGCAAGGAAAATATATACAATGATCTACAGAAACTTGGTAGTAGTCAATCAGCAGGGTAAGTTAATTTTGAATACCATAAAAATTTAAAGACATTTTGTGTATGTGTAATCATTTTACAGCCGTGATTCTCGTTAAAAGTTGCTTTAATTATATAATTACAATAAAAGAGTGCTAAATTTAATAGGAAGAAATATGTATGAAATAAAACAACAATACTAAGATTTTAATGAAGAGTTATGATATGTAAAGTATCTTACATTAATTTAAGCCTTGAGATACCAGCATTAGAATTGTTTTGAAGATAATTTCAGAAACTCCTTTGTAGAGATGTACTGAAAGGCTTTGGTAAGTAACATATCTAGGTAGGACCATTTGAATGGATGGGTCCTTTTTTGTTTTTATAACAGACAAAACTTATGCAAGTGGAATTTTACTTCCCCACCTTTGGGCTTACAGTTCTTAATTTGCTATTTTTGGGTCACATATCCCTTTGATAATCTGATAAAAGCACTGGGTTCTCATTCCAGAAAGATACACATAAATATCCACAGTGGTATGCTGGTAAATGTTTAAAAACCCATTTTTCCAGGGAAAATCCCCATTTGTAGTGGTTGCTGGTTTCCGTCATGTAAATACCCCCACTATGGCCATTTTCAGGCTGCAAACGTGGAGTTGGGAAGAGAGGTACATAGTCTGCTTCTGAGTGTCGTGGCTTAGCACACCACAGGCTTCTTAAAGCCCATCCTTGAACTACAATTAAGAACTGTTCTCAGAAGTTTGCTTACTCCCCAGAATGAACTGACCACTACTTTGTGCTCCCACTCTTCTGTATTTATACTTTAGACTTTATTGTTATATTGCTTTGTTACACTTGTTTATATTTCTCTTTCCTGTATCTTATTCAGTTTTGCATTCTGCATCACACACGTGTTTTATTAATACGGTGTTTAATTATAGTGTTGAATTGAATACTCATTCTTCCAGAGTTAGGATTTAAGACCCAGAAAAGGGCATCGCCATCATAGCCTAGAAAAGAAGTAATTATTAGGGCCAGTGACTTGACATTTTATTGTTTTACAGAGCTTTTTATGAAATTAAATGAAGGCTAATAAAGTAAACACCTATAGTATCTCTAGTAGTATTTTCAGTTTTTTGAAGTATTCTTTCATTTAAATGAATCTTGTTAGACTACTAGGAAAATTATATTAATGAAACAATAACCTACAGATTGCTTATGTCATTTCCATTTTGAATTTGTTTCAGGTTTCAGTTTAGTAGAATTAACTTCAGAACTCCTCCTTATGAGTGTTCTCAACCTTGCCACACTTTGTACTTCCTTTTTATTACATCTGTTTCATAACATTTCCTTTATTATACTCAAAATACAACCTATCTATATGTACAATTTAAAATCAATGCCATAGTATATTATACAATATAGTACCATAATACAAAGAAGAAATACACTTGTGATAGTGTATATAATTTCAAAATGTTAGCTCAGGCCTGATTTCAGTGTTAAAATGAAGATGTTTTTAAGGCAGTAGCAAAGGGTATTTGGTTATGATCTTTGCTAATTTTATATATTGCATATCTGCATTTTTGACTTTTGAGCTCCAGATCTGTACATCTACCTACAAACTGAACCTGCTTACCTGAGCGATTTTTGTCCACTTTATCGTCTTCCCACCCAGATCTGTTCATCTTCCGAGCTACTTTCTTGGTGAATGGTGCCACCCATTCATCTACCCAAAGTGAAATCTTAGGATCCTTCTCAGCTTCTCCCTTTCCTTGTATATCAGACAACAAGGCTTTTTCACTTTTACCTTTATACTTCTTTTAGAAGTGACCTTTTTCTGTGCTTCAGGTCAGGCTTTAATGCTTTTTCATTTGTATTATTGCAATTACTATTTTAATACTAGCTTCCCCCTATTCTCGCCAGAGTGACTTGTCATTTCTCGGCTTAAAATAATCATATAGGGGTCCCTTATTTCTCTGTGGATAGTACTCACTGTGGACTAGCAAGTCAGTTTTCTGTCTTGAATTAAACCTTTTTAATCGCGAGTTGGATGCAGCAGTGCCTTAGCGAAGCCTCTGAAGTATCAGCTGGGGAGAATGCAGTGATGTGGGATTGGTGGCATAAGGGCTGCTTGTTGATATCCTTGTGCCATGTAGCAGGGCACACCAGACCCTTTATCGTCCTGCTTACATTGTAGTAGTAATGAATTACCTGTAGTTCCCTGCAACAGGCATTGGAGGTTCACAGCTGGATGCTTTTATCACACAGTGTCCCCTCTGTAGAATGGCCTTTCCTAGGCCTACTTCATATTCCACTATAAAAGCTTTTCTGATTCTTTGTTTCTTAGACCTTGTCCCGTCCCTACCAAATAGTCATGGCTCCATCTTCTTTACTAATTTATCTTATAATACCTTTTTTATTGTGCTTATTACACTTTATAATTAATTACTCTTAGGTATTTTCTGTATGAATGTTGAATTATTTATGTCTCCAGTATCTAGCATAGGGATGGCTCTGTTTAATATTTGTTCAAAGATTAAATTGTGTAGCAGTTTGTCCTGGACTAAAATCTGTTGAATAGCCCTTTCTTTCAGTTTGTGATTCTTTGTTTTTATTTTCTATCAGAATCATCAGATTCAGGCACATCTGTGAGTGAAAACAGGTGTCACCTCGAAGGTGGGAGTGATGAAAAGGTAATCTTGAAATGAACTCATTCAAGTATTGATGTTTCTTGAAAATTGGAAAGGTTATTTAAAACAAATGATTTTTAGCTTCCTGGTGTTAACAAGTTAAGTTTGGGTTGGTTTTTTTTTTCCCCCCCTTTGAATGCTTAGGACCCTGTGCAAGAGCTACAGGAAGAGAAACCTTCATCTTCAGATTTGGTTTCTAGACCATCTACCTCATCTAGAAGGAGAGCAATTAGTGAGACAGGTATATATGAATCTTGGCACTTTCAAACTGCTTTTCAGTGTTCACTCTCTAATGAAATTAGTGTATTTAGGCTCAATGAAATTGTGCCTTTTTGGTTTAGATGATTGAATTTGAGTTTCTTATTTTATGTAATGTTATTTGGTTTAAAAATTGCTTTCTTAGCAACATTTTTCTAGTTGACTATAGCAGATATACTTTCCTATGCTCCACTGACGTTTATAGTTAGCCAGCTCTCTCTTATTCAGGATAATTCAGGACAAGGATGTAAATTCTTGTTTTAGTCATTATTCTTAGCTACCTTAGCAATTAAAATATTTAATGGTTGTTTCTAATAAATGATAAATCCAGTAAGTTTAAACGCAGAGAACGTAAAGAACAACTAAGAAGATGAGGTAAAGAAAATAGCTGAGAACATTTTTACAAAGACAGTGGAGGCAGAGGAGGCTATTACCTGATCAAAAGTCCTACTACCTAAAATTGTGTGTGTGATTCAGATGAAAGAAGAGGTCAGCAGACACAGATTAGATAAGCCCAGACTAGAATCTTGTACATGAGAGTAGTGATAGTAGAGGATGTCTTTACTAAATCATGGGCTTGGGATAAACAGTTATTTGGGGGAGGGAGATCAAGGTGTATCTGTATTTTATGCCAAAATGAAGTCTAAGTGAATTTAAAAGATGAATTTTAAAAAGTGCAACATTTTGAAAGATACTTACTTTAAATTGGACAGTGTTAATATCCTTACTACATAAAAAGTTCTCAAAAATATATTTAAAAATCCAAATAGCAGAAAGAACAAAACAAGTTTTTCATGATATATACAAATGACTGATAAATTTCAGGAAGTGGGAGATTTTAGCAGGTTGGCTTTACAGATAATAGAAAAATACAAAAAGAGGTCTTTTGTGGTTTATCAAAAAGCAGATACATTTTTTCATGTGTTGGCACTGGTATACTATTGGTGTATCAATTGGTATACATTGGTTAAACCTTTATGTATTATAAAAGGGCTTGGAGTTCTTTATCTCAATAATTTTATCTCAATAACTAGTTTTAGGAATCTATCTTAGGGATATAATCAAATTCAGCTGAATAAGATTATATGTAGAGATACTAATTATAGCATTATTTACAATTTAAAGCATACCTTATGATAAGAATGTCTTCACTCTATCCAGGCCTTGTCATCTCTTGCCTCCCCTGCAGCACCTTGCTGATTTTCTCTCTGCTTCTACTCTTTTCTCTTTCTGTTTCTTCACACAGTAAAGAGATCATAAAAGGTAAATTAGATAATGTCACTTCCTCACTTAGCTACTTTGGTTACTTACCATTGGCTTCGAATAAAACCACACTTCTCACCTTGGCCTACAAGGCCCTGATCTACCTTTAATCTGGTTTTTGGCCTTTCCCTCACCTTCATTGTGTTTCAGTTGTACTAATTCCTTGGTTCCTTGAACAAGTCAAAACTCTTTGCTGCTTTAACATGTTTGCACACAGTTTTTTTTCTGCCAGTTCATCTACCTCAGCCTTGCCGGACAAGCTTCCATTTTTCTTAAATGAGTTTTGCTGACCTTCTCAGAGAGGCTGTCTCTAACCAGCCAGAATGGTAGAATCTTGTTCACTTTTCCTTAGCATCCTCATTGTTTCACTTCATAGCACTCATGATAGCTGTAAATCATTTTTTCCCTGTTGCCTTGATGTTTGAATGTGAGCTTCCTTTGGTGGCAGGGGTGATGGCTGACTTTAGTTTTGTGCTCACTGCAAGTGTAGGACCTGAGTGTTTTGGAAATTCAGAAAGAGATGACTTCAAAAGACAAGAGAGGGAAATGGAGTGAGCAAAGGTGTGAGGATTGTATATGTTTCAGGCATATGGATTGTATCTCATGTGATCCCATACTGTTAGGTACTTAACATATAAGGCTGCAGTGAGCACTTTTGCACATACATCCTTAAATAATTACACAAGTATTTCCCTAGGATAGAGAACTTGCCCAAAAAATACTGCACTGTTTTGCATGTCTACCAACAGTGTATCAAAATGTCTTTTCTGTCTAATCTCTTGAGACTGTGTCATTTTAATTTTTGTCATTCTCATGGGTAAAAGTGGTATCTCATTTTGTTTTGCATTTCCTTGATCACTAAGAGATAGAAGATATATTTTTTTCATGTTTATTAGTCATTTGTATTCTGTGAATTGCCTTTTCATTTTTGACTTTAAGTTTGTGTTTTATTTGGTGGAAGGGCTTTGTATAAAATGAACATTAACCATTTTATGTATTTTGCAGATATTTTAAGTTGACATTTGACTTTTAATTTTTGTTTATGGTATTTCATTTTGCCATGTAAATCTTAATATAGTCTAATCTTGATAGTGTTTTTCTTGAGAGTCATAACTTCCCCACTCAGTATTCTAAGAATATTTTCTGTTAAGTATTTAGATAGTTTTGTTCTTTGGTTTTGGTTCTTTAATTCACTTGGAATATATTTTTATGTCTGATGTAAGATAGGACTCTCACTTATTTTCCTGACAGATTTGGTAACATTCTGACTGTAAGTCAGAGGTAGTTTATTATTGAAAACGGACTGTTTCACTGGTTTAGATTCCTGTTGAATCCAATACAGGGTATTCTGGAAATTGAAATATTAAGAATACTATTTAACTAAATTAAGCATTATTAATTATTTGTTTCAGAAAAAAGAATGAAATCTTAGATCCTAAAGATTGGTTTAGATAGAAAATTCCTAGATCAGTTATTGAAAGCTCTAGATGGATTAAATTGATTGTGACTTAATGGAGAAGAAGTTCTGAGAGCAGCTTTAAAAAAACTTAAAAATACATCATTCTGCTATAACTCGGCTGGACAGATCAATAAAACTGTTGACTTTGGAAACAATAGTAACTGACTTTCTCTGTTTACTTTCATTGAAACTAAATTTCAGTACATATAGGTACTCAGGACAGCTCAATTTCTAAATAAATCATAGTAGAGCAATTTAATTAACTTTTTTTTCCTTACATGTCTAGAAGAATGTTCAGATGAATTACGTGGTGAACGACAAAGAAAGCGCCACAAATCTGATAGTATATCCCTTTCCTTTGATGAGAGCCTTGCTCTGTGTGTCATAAGGGAGATATGTTGTGAAAGAAGCAGTGGCAGTGAGTCAACAGGGACTCCGTCAAACTCGGTAATCTCATCTGCAAATAAAACAAGACTCTCATTTTTGAAAATCTGGTTCTGGTAGTCCTTATAAATGTTCAGATGGAGTGCACATATATGTTACAGGATTGCTGCCATACATTGTGTTAAATTTTTCTTTCATATAAAACGACTGCATGGATCTTCCCCACCTCCACCCCCAGGTTTGGGGAGAAGGGTGGAAAATAGTGGAGTTGCACTAGACTGTGTTGATAAGATTAATACCAATATTAATAGTCATTAAGGTCCACCCTGCATATTGGAGATTCTTGTAGGGCCACTACACCAGTAGTAAATTAAAATAAATTGATGTATAGAGTAGTCTTGAGAATTTAGAAGTTACACATTTAAAAAAATAGGGGAACAAAAGGAAAAATTTGGTTCACTTAGGTGTCTTAGAATTTTGAGACAAATTCATCCAAAATATTTAGGGTAAAAATACTTTTTAAATGTGGCTAACAGCAAATAAGCATAGTCTGAGCTCCACATTTGTCATGTGTCTAGACGGAGAAGGTCTGTTAGCTAAGGCTGTGAAATGGTGGTGTATCACTGTATAGATGATGATGGGAGAGTATCAGATCTTTTGATTGAAACAAAATCCCGAAGCATTAGCTAGGAGTAAAATTCTTAAGAGATGTCACTGAAAGAGGTTTGGTTAAAAAAAAAAGTTCTTGCTAACAAGAATGCTTAACAGATGGAATATTTTCTTTCTTATCATTAAACATTTGTCTTTAAAATGTTACTACAATTGGAACCTTTGTGGTATGGCAGTGTCTCATGATCATCCTGGATATTAATGATCATTTTAATGTTCTTTAGAAGTGTGACCGAACTAATTATGATAGTACCCTATTCTTTTTATGTATTCTCGCTACTTCCTGTGTTTATTTTCTCTCTTCCAAAGAAGGGTTTTATGGCTACAGATGTGCCCTCTGGAGTTAGTATTTAATAGAGCTGTTACTGTGTAAGCCACTAGATGGCGTGGTGAGCTCCCCTGAGAGCAAAATCTTTATTAGTAGGTATTTGTCTTCTTTATGTGTCAGGTTCCGTTTGGCATTGGAATTACAGTGGCAGTCATGGTGGATATGGTCCCTACCTTCACGGGGAGATAGATCATCAACAGTGAAATGATTAAAACATTTAATAAATGCTATGAAAAAAACACAGGTTTTTGAGAGCAAATATGCGATATCTAAAAATGGAATCCAATTAAAAAAAACTTAATGTGTACACAAACTTCAAGTTTGGGTAATTGTATTCCTTATAAAAGGTTTAAATAGAACTACTATGCCCCATTATACTTATGGTCTTTGTTAAAGATGTTTCTTAATTCTAGCTAAATAATATTTAAAGCCCTTGTTATCAAGGCGTTTCTTTTTTTCTTTTTGTTAGGATTTTTAGAAGAGAGTATTGGACTATCTTTTAGTCTGTTGTTTCCAGGTTAAGTCCATACTTGTGAAAGCTTTTTGCAGGGTTTTTTTCCCTCTTCATTTTAGCTTACCTGATATAAGAATGCTCTAGTAATCATTTGGTGTAATCATTCACCCATTTGTAAAGAGAGTTAGAGGGAAGTGCCTCTCATCTTTTCTTCCTTTTGGGTTTAGTACATTTGGGAATTAAGGCTATATTCTAAGCTCTGTACTAGCAATTTACATGATATCTCAGCAGCCTCAAACTCCATTTACAGAAGGGAAAACTAAGACTTAAGGGTTTCAAATAACTTATTTAAGGTATCTAACAGTTGTCACAGTTGGAATTTAGGCAGAACCAGGGACTTCTGACTTCAAAATGTAAAATCTCCCCAGATTAAATATGATCCTTTCTAAATGTACAGTATTTAAAAGTTTCTGGATCAACCTTTGAACATTAGCTGGAACTTTTAAAAACAACTTTTAATACTGCTTTCTTCATAATATCCTAGAATAGGGATAGTCAAGCTTTTCTGTAAAGAGCTAGATAGTAACTGTTTTGGGGTTTTCAGGCCACATGGTCTTTGTTGCATCTATTCAACTCTACTCCTGTAAGGCAAAAGCAACTATAGATAACAGGTAGACAAATGGGCATGGCTGTGTCCAGTAAAGCTTTATAAAAATAGATGGGTGGTAGGCCACAGTTTGCCAATCCCTGCTATAGAAGGTGCTTTCTGAAACTTGATTTTTCTTGTGATTTACTCTTTTATGCCAAACTTAGTGCACTGAAGATTAGTTAATTGAAGTATCCGGTTTGTTAGGTTACTTTGCTAAAAATACTGCATTCTAATTTGACTTGTGATTTTAATCTAATTGTTAATAGTGTCCTTGTTTAAAACTACAACTTGGTGAATGTTATTTTTACTACTACTACATTCTTAATATCACTGTAAAAATCCATTTTTTGACCTCAGTTATACTTTATTTTTGTTTTTGTAAATGATGAAAATATTGGAGATTATATAATCCAAACTCTTCATAGATGTGAAGTTGCTGTGGCTTTCACAGGTTAAATGTGTCCAAAGTTACATAGCTATTTAGTAGAAAATCTAGAATTTAGATTTGTGTGTGTTCTGACTCCTAGACCAATGTAGTTTCTCTGGTTCTAGCCTTCTGCTTTGCATATGTTCCTATTCTTAGCCACTGACAGCAATTATTATGGGACTCAAAGTCTTACTGGCTTTTGTACTTTGAAATGAGGACTTACATGAACAGATACAGAATTTTAAAAACGAATTTAAAAAATTATTCCTGAAAGGTCTTTCAAATTATTCTCAAAGTTCATTAAAAACATAAGTCTTAAAATTATTGTGTATCTTCAAACTACTTGTATTTTACCAATCTGAAGATGTAAAGGTGATCAAGACATGGTCTTAACTCTTAAAGTGGGTATAATTCAAGTAAGAAACATGCATACAAAATTATGTTTTGCAAAATTTATGGGTGAAAATATATTCAATAATACACAAGTAGTAAAGATAATTAGAGGTGGAAGTACTCTTAGCTGTGGTATTGGCAGAGGCTTTGGCAAAACAGATGAGTATGTCTTAAAACATGTTGAGTTATTCAAGTTAATTTGCAAGTAGAAGTTTGATCAAGACATGGTCTTAACTCTTAAAGTGGGTATAATTCAAGTAAGAAACATGCATACAAAATTATGTTTTGCAAAATTTATGGGTGAAAATATATTCAATAATACACAAGTAGTAAAGATAATTAGAGGTGGAAGTACTCTTAGCTGTGGTATTGGCAGAGGCTTTGGCAAAACAGATGAGTATGTCTTAAAACATGTTGAGTTATTCAAGTTAATTTGCAAGTAGAAGTGCCAAGTTTGATTTAGGAAACAAATCTAGATCTGGCTGATTGCTCATATTTAGTGTGTGTTGGGGGGTATCTAGTTGGAGATAAGCTGAAAATGTTGTCGTACTGTTCGTACCTTGAATACCAAGGGGGTTTGCTCTCTATGTAATGGGGTTTTGAACAAGGAAAATAATACTAATTTAAATCACGTTTTCCCCCCCAATTTTAGGATCTTGATGCTGGTGTAAGTGAACATTCAGGTGATTGGTTGGATCAGGATTCAGTTTCAGATCAGTTCAGTGTAGAATTTGAAGTTGAGTCTCTTGATTCAGAAGATTATAGCCTTAGTGAAGATGGACAAGAACTCTCAGACGAAGATGATGAGGTAAGTTTTTTCTCTTAATTATATTTAAGTGTTGTTAAATATTTTCCATACTCATTGACCAATAAGATTGAAATAATGTATTCATATTTCATTTGAAATCTTTGACTCTTGATTTATGCAAACTGGAATATTGTTTTGTGGACTTGAGACTTTTGTAGTTCCTTGTCTGATTGAATTCTTATAACTACTAATGCCAGAAGTCAGTAGACCTTAATGAGCGTTCATCTGTTCACTTTTTTGAGTATTCAGTTCTTCTCTTGTCATATTAATTTACTTTTTATGAAAGTAAAGCATGCATACAGTTGAAGTCACACAGTCCCTTCAGATCTGTTTCCTGAAGGTGACTACTGTCAACATTTCTTGCTGTTTCACAGTTACTTAATATTTCTGTATTTATAAAATAAAAATGTTTATACTGAATTTTTTGCTTTATCTATTTTAAACACTCTATTGCCTTTTCACCACAGTGGGTGAGGATTTCATTGTTCTCCATTTCTTCCCCTTTATATTCACCCATTCCATTTGACCTTCATTTTAGCATGTACTTCTGTGTATGAGGAATTCTGTCTGTTTAGGACTTAGCACTGAGAAGCCTTCCTGGTTGAAGAAAAAAGGTGATGAATTGATTCTAATGGATTTATTTTATTAGGTATATCGAGTTACTGTGTATCAGGCAGGAGAGAGTGATACAGATTCATTTGAAGAAGATCCTGAAATTTCCTTAGCTGTAAGTATGCATTTACTTTTTTAAGGAATCAAAAAATAACATTGAGGTAAAGGTTAGAAAAGTATGTCGTTTACTGAGATATTTTTTATAAAGTTAAAATACTTTTTTAAAGTTTTAGTGATTTGAAGCATTTTATTTGTATTGGGAACTGTTGCTACATTTTTGGTTTTTTTTTTTTTTTATTGGTGCTGGAATTTGAACTTTTAAAGACTTAATCGTGGAGAATTTCAAGTATGTATAGCATAGAAAATAGTGTGATTTATGTCCAGTATACATGCTGCTCAGCTCTAACAGTTATCAGTATTTTGCCAATCTTGTTGAATGTAAACATCTTTCATACTGATTTGTACTAGAGAATGCGGTGGGATTTGCTATTAAAGAAACCAGGACTTAAATATTTACATTTTATGCTGTACTGGCTTTCAGAGGTGTTGGAATTTGTTGGGATTCTTTTGCAGAATATTATTTGCTTTAATTCTTGCTCTTTATATTGTCTTATATTTGAGTAGGAAATCTCATTTCCCTTTTCTGAGTTGAAAACAAGTTACTATCTAAATGCAAAAAAGGTGAAATTGTGAGATTTTTGAAAATTTTTTTGCTGTATTCGAAAATAACTCAAGTAGTTGACACATGTCAGGTTGAGTGAAATGTTGCACACATAGATATTGCAACTTACTGTACTCGTTGAAGCATCCCCCTGTCCCTCCTCAAGACCTTAGTCTTTGGTTTTGTCAGTTACTGGAAACCTACTTTGAGAACTTGAAAGAACCAAGTGGGAGAATGAACAGTCTTCACCCATATTGCTAACCTCTATGTCATCTGTCAGGCAGTTTAAAACTGGTTGTTACATTATTCATGGTAAGATAGGAAGGACCTCTATGTGCTGTTCTACACATACAGTGTCCTTAGGCAAGAGCCATGCTTAGTTAAGGTAGGGGATATGGCTATATTCAATAAAGAGACTGGGGATGTGGAGGAGTTTGTTATACAAATTGCATGGTGGAATGGGAAATGAGGTAAGGAAGGAAGAAGCAATTAGCAGTGATGAGAACACAAAAAAGGATAGCCAAGTAAGGGGCATACATTTTGGATAGTAACAAGGGTGGTAGATTTTAGCTGGCAATGATTGCTGAAGAATGCTTTAGCATTTCCTTTGTAGATGAAGTTAGGGGGCTGCTCGGGATGCTCAGTTGAGCCCTAGTTTTAGAGCATTTCTAAGGGAGTTTCAGTCAGTGGTAGACTGGGCGGTAGTTCCATTTAGATTGATCAAGTGGTCTCTGGGCACAGTATCCGGGGTTGAGCCTCTAAGGCAGTGGAGTGGTATGGGCCTCATTACAGGATAAACAATCCCATAGCATTTGCTTCAACTAAATGAACCAACTATAATATGTCCTGAAACAGGTAACTTTATGGGTATGTGGTTAAGATACACAGTGAATGTATTTTTGTTTTAGGATTTTTCAGCATGGTTTGGCTGGGGAAAAAAAAAGTAAAATCACATACTTGAGGAAAGAATTTACATGTTGAATGTTCTGTGTAAAACATGAAATGCTGAAAAGTGAGCTGTGTGTACACTTTACCTTAGACATACTGAAGCTGCTACATTGCTATGGTTGGTTATTACAGGGTTACAGAAACTAACTCTTGTTATTTCACTGAAGGACTATTGGAAGTGTACTTCGTGCAGTGAAATGAATCCTCCCCTGCCACCACATTGCAACAGATGTTGGGCCCTTCGTGAGAATTGGCTTCCTGAAGACAAAGGCAGAGACAAAGGGAAAAAGCCTGAGAAAGCCAAACTAGAAAGCTCAGCACAAGCAGAAGAGGGCTTTGATGTCCCTGATTGTAAAAAAAATACAGTGAATGAGTCTAGAGAGCCATGTGTTGAGGAAAATGATGATAAAATCACACAAACCTCCCAATCCCAAGAAAGTGAGGACTATTCTCAGCCATCAACTTCTAATAGTGTCATTTATAGCAGCCAAGAAGATGTCAAAGAGTTTGAGAGGGAAGACACACAAGACAAAGAAGAAAGTGTGGAATCTAGTTTTCCTCTTAATGCCATTGAACCTTGTGTGATTTGCCAAGGTCGACCTAAAAATGGGTGCATTGTTCATGGCAAAACAGGACATCTTATGGCATGTTTCACATGTGCAAAGAAGCTAAAGAAGAGAAATAAGCCCTGTCCAGTATGTAGGCAACCAATTCAAATGATTGTGCTAACTTATTTTCCCTAGTTGACATGTCTATAAAAATACAATTATATATTTCAACTATATAACCCTGAAAATTTAGACAACATGAAATTTATTTTTATTTTTTTACCTTGATATCAAAGGGCAAAAGTATCTCAGTTGCATGTGGATTTCTTCTCTCTAGTGTAATTCGCCTTCTTTGGGAGGGGAATAGTGAATACTTCCTTTTAGGAAAATTTCACTTCTGTTTATATTTTATATTTGGGTTTTAATGTAATTTGAATTGGATATGTAGCTCATCCTCTACTGCTAGCTCCTCATATTTTAAATAATTTCCACTCTCTCATAAATGAGAAGTATCTGATATCTTTTTAAAAATACAGGTAGGACATTTTAAATATAAATCTAGTACTTTTCATATAAGGAGAAAAAGTTTGTGTGAAAGATTTATTATTTAAATTTTAGGTACTTTTAAAATCTTCCAATCCTTAGTTTCTCTACTCTTCCAGAGCCTCTCAAAATAGTTTTTCAAGGTAAAAAAGATATCAGTGGTTGTATTTGGGGCCATGAAAGTAAAAGTGAACTACTTATTCTTCATCCTCTGGTATAGTAAGGGATAGGAGGTAATGATGTCAGTTGAGAAGTCTGAGCCACCATTTACCCATGAGACAGAACTCATAAGGTTCCCTAACATGATGTGGAATTATCTAGGAGTCTAACCTCTATATCTGTAACCCTTTTCCACACCTAGTTTCAGGAATTAGTGCAATCTTTTGTTTTCCACACATTGAAAAACAGTTCTAAGACACTTTAAAGTACTTTCTTGGGCTGGATTACATGGTTCCTGGTAGTTACCTAGGTTTCAGACTTTTGCTTAAGGCCAGTTTTAGAGGCCAGTGACTTCACAAAGACTTAATGCAGAAATTTAATAAACAGAAGGACTGTTTGTTTTTAAACTGCCTGAGAATGTCATAACTTTTTTCTAAATTGCCCAGAAACTATGTATCACTCGTCTTCAAGAATGACAGGGTCACAAGATAGGATTCTGAAATCTCTCTCAAACTGCATAGACTAACATCTTGATTTGTATTTAAATATGAATATTCAGCAAAATAGTGAAAAAAACCACTTAGATTTAAGGTCCCAGTGTTTTTCTCCTATCTGTGGCAGTTGTATATACTCAGGTGAGGATAATCAACTGAAACTATAAAGTGTTTAGAACTGAGAGGGATAATTTATCACATCAAGTTTGTGTGCCAGTTACTAACAGTACATTGTATTAAACTTTAAACCATGTGCACAACTTAAACATGTATACATATGAGATAGTAGGAAACAAATGGCTGGAGGGATCAGTACCTTAGCCTAAGATTGGTTCTCAAGTACAGTAAAAGCCTTATTACTAGAGGCTTACAGTACTTCAGCTATAGCTGAGTAGAATCAGTCCTTTCTAAGGGGAGTTGATAGTAAAAATGAGACTATAAACACTATATTCAGGGTATATTATGTAGTGATTGCGCTATTTATAAAACATTCAAATCTGTGCAGATAGGGTCTCATTCGGCATATCTACATTACAAATGGAGCCTTGATTGTCTAAATTTTTAGGTTTAGTATACAGATGTTTATTGGTTCACAAACACTTTATTAAATATTTGATTAAGAATTGTTTCAAGAATGTGATTATTGGATCTTACAAACAATTTTTCCATAGTAAAATGAAAATTATATTTGAATATCAATCAACTAGGTAATCAAAAGTTCAAGTCTGAATATGCTTGTTTCTGGAAGAGCTGTGCCTGCCCACTTTGGAAGTACATACAGTAATGGGCAGCTGATGTACTTGGGAGCCTCCCAACTTGAGAGACCAACTTGAGAGAATGGTGTTAACTAAATTGTAGGGTGACAAAATGCTGTTTTTTCTCTGTCTTGTTCACTTGTGTCACTGCATGGTAGGTTGGTGTAAGTGGTTTCTCAACAAGTGACAGATAACAGTTTGCAAGGGATGTAGTTAGGGTGGGGATGGGAACTAGGGCTAGTCACCTTGCTCACTGGTCAGCTTGAAAAGCTATTCAAATTGCCTGTAATTTCTCTGAACCTAAATTCCATAAGACCAAGACTTCTTGATTATGATTCATGTATTTGGTGCTCGGTAAGAATGTATTGAATGAATCAAAGCATTGGGATCTGAGTCTTGAAGCTGGTTTTTTAAATCAGGATTGGTGGATCCCAAAGCCAGACTAGGGTTAGTTAATGGCATCATTTAGTTTGCTTTTTATTTTCAATAAGGGTTTTAAGGTACTGGTTAGTGTGTAGTTATGTAGGCTCATGATATATGCAAATTGTCATGGCATTGTGAAATGTTTGTTGTTGTACTTACTGGTTTGGATGCTGAATTGGGTTTTAAGTTAGTATTTACCAAAAAAAATTATTTGTTTACCTGGAAGAAAAATCAGTTGTTTAAGTGTCTGTGGCCATATTGTCTCTCATAGCCGGCTTTGTTACACATGATAGGGAATTTTTGACATTTACAAAAAAAGGCTTTAAAAAAATAAATACATGACAACAGCAGCATATTAGAAGGGGCTCAGAAGTGTTGACTATGTTATAATATGGACTTAACAGGAACTAAGAAAAAGCAACAGTAAACAGAACGAGCAGTTTGAAGTGACAAGCAGATGGGAGTTGGTATGTGTTCAGTAATTTATGATAGCTGAATGCATTTGAAATGATATATACATATATATTTCAATATTAATATTGAAATACACTAATGGTATATTAATGAAATACATTAACGGTATATTTTTGTATTAATATTAGAATAATATTTTTTATAATTTTTTAGGAGAGGTGATACTAAACATACTTGAATTCTTAAATTAAAAAAAAACTTTAAAGCTCTTTTAAAGTTTCTTTTATTAAAAATGGTAGACATTTTCCTTTCATCCTTGTTTTAGTCCCACAGATTTGCCTTCAGAATGTATGATAGTTTAATGTCCTGCCAACAACCTAACAAGTCTGCTTAACAAAATAACTATCATTCACATTCTAGATTTCAAAATTTCAACTTTTTCTGTTTTTGCTGTCATGTTAGATGAATTTAAAATTTTAGTACTTTTATGTATGTGTTTAGTTTATACCTTCCCAGGCCATACCCTGTATTAGATCTTTCTACAAGATCAGTGTAAAATCTGCCTAAATGGGCTTTGGTCTCTACCATTTTTGGTTCATTTACAGATAATTCACAAATGCCTTCATGTCGCTTCCCTAATTTAAATGTAGAAAAGAAAGTTTCAGTAATTCCATTGCTTGTTGGATATCTCAAATGTTCTGCCTGAACAATTTAGACTTCAGAGGTTTCTATGAAACAAATTCTCACCATTATCTTCTCAAACCTTGCTGCAACAAAGTTCATTTGAATCCTTAATCTCCCATGACTTTTTATTTTTATAAATGGAAATATTTCCCTTCCTCGTGGAGAGGGAAGGGCTAAATTCAAATAGCAGATCAGGTACTTACTTGTTTAGTGACTTGAGAATTAGAGACAATAAATATTTTAAAGCCTAGGATTAAGTAAAGTTGATATAAGAATTGTAACAAAGTTGGGAAGCTAAAACAAAAATCCCTTGGTATAAAAAAGTTTTTCATCTTTTCTCATGATTTATTTTATTTCTTTTTAAGAGGCATGTGAGGAGACCGAATCCCTTTAGTTAGGAACTTTTCTATCCACAAGGTGGAAGCACTACATTGGGAGTTCTCTGAGTACATTCATTGATGGTAGGTAAACCCCTAACAGTATGGATAGCATACTCCTGGAAGAGAGAACATTGGGCTAGAAAGCATGAGGTTCTAGTTTTGGTTGTTACAACACAGACTGCAAATTTTGGTCCAGAAATTCTTCACTATTCGTCCTTTAGAGGTTCATGAGAAAATATATTGTGTATAAGAATGCCACACTTTGGTTTTAAAGGACAGATGTCCTTGACCCCCCAAAAAAGTTTGTTTCACTTTGACCTAAGTGAAGTGGCACTTTGCATGAACTTTGGCAATGTTTAATGTGTATGTGAGGTGTGTCAGTTACTTGTGTAAACTGGTGCTTCTAAAACGAGGTTCCATTCTTTATATCAGTTGCTTTTCTTACAAAAGTAGTAAGAAAATTTTCAGAAATGAAGTAGGAAAAACACATAATTCTATCATAAAAAAAGGACTGATCACTTGTTTATACTTAATTTTCTTTTACTTTTTTCCCTATATCTAATATTTTAAGATTCAGTTCATTTTAAAATTGTACCTTGCTTTTGGGGGGTGGAGAATAATGGATGCTCCAAGGGACTGCAAATTTAAATACTGAAGTCTAACTGACGCCAAGGAGGTTCCTCTATAATGAATTCTTTAAAAATAGAAAAATGTTACCAGTTTACTTTCTGAGATACTTATCAATTCTTAGAAATTGGTACCTGTGAATTACCTATTTCCAGCACATCTCATTAAACTATTGTTTAGCACGTTTTAGAGGGCTAACAAGCTTGAGCTCAATCTGACCCAGAACTAGAAATTCAGTACTCTATGAGGGTTAGGGCTGTTAGTTTTCCAATTACTATAGGAGTTGAAGACTTTGTTTATAACTGTTCTGTGTTTCAAAAGCTATTTGAAATCAGTAACATTTACTTTTCAGGACAATAGACCTTCCTCTACCAGTGTCTCTTTAAATGTGTTTGGAAATCTAGGAATGTAAATTCAACAGGGATGATAGATAATAGGCTAAATTATTTAAGAAAATGGTTCCATAGCTGAGTGTGTTTGGGAAATCCATTTCTTTTCTGCATGATTTCTCAGATCCTTTACTATATTAATGTGCATTGTAAATTTTGCACAGTTTTGTTTTTTTACCAGAGGGCACACTTCTTCATCTGCCCCATAGTATAAATTGATATGGAATATAACATATATGATAGGATGGGTATATGTAATATAAACTGTTCTGGAAGGTCTCTCTGGGCTTTGAAGAGTTGTTGATATTATTGCCTCATCAAAGTAATCAGATTTGGTCTTTCCCAGGTTTTATTTGCCAGTAATCAGTTCTCTCTAGAATGTAGACTTTGTGAACACTTGTGCATTTGTTTTTAAGGCAATGTAATGGAAAGAAACAGTATTCACTGTTTACATGAATATTCTTTATTGAGAATAAAAACAATTCTAAATTTACTGAATTCAGAGGTAGTCATGGCCCCTACCCAATAAACTGTACAGTCTTAGACAATTTGTACATCTTAAGTTCTTAATTAGAGTACAAAAGAAAGCCACTGAGATACTTGTAAAAAAAAAAACCCAGCTATGAAACATCTATACAAGGCTGTGGAATAGTTTATATGGTGAAGTATGATAAAATGGTTTGTTGACAATACAGTACAATAAAACGTGCTTATCAGTGATAGTGTAGAGGTTTAGTGAAGTTAGATTCTCCAAACTTCTATTGTAGGTGTTATGAACTTTTTTGGGAAGGGGAGGAGGCTCTTTAATAATCATCATCTTCTTTCCCTTTCCCATCTGAAGTCATGAGTATGATAAAAGGGATATGTAAAACAGACAACTGTATTGTCACTGTGTAGTTAAAAACCAAACTTAATAAGCACCTATCCTGCTGCAGTGAGAAAATATGCTATGTTCATATTTCTAATCCAATACCAGATATTTTTACTTTCTAAAGCTAGTGCTAAATTCTTAACACTGTTTTTAGAAACACCCCCAATACAGATTTGCTTCTGTAACAAAACACCATTGATTTCTTAGACTTTCAGAAATATTGAGAAGAGGTTTTTAACATTTCTGAAACATCCAACAGCTCAACTCTGAATTATAAATTAAGCACCAAAATCAACACACTTAACACGCAGTCTTAACATTTCTCTTAAAATGCTCCCCGCCTTTTTAGATTCATTCATGTTAATGTAGATATGTGAGAAAAAAAGCTGTTACCTTTTTTATTAAACTATTACCTTTTTTATTCATTCTAGCTAACCAATTTTCAGGCCCATTCTGTTTACAGATGAGGTAAAAGGCTTGGTCTTTAATAAGATTATTATGGTGCCCTCAAGATATTTATGCCATCTTAGTGTTAATTGTCCTTCCTCTACCTGGGCAAGCACCAAAATATGACGTCTTAATGGTGCTGCTCCTGACAGTCACAGAATCAGTCAAGCAGGGCCTTCATTTCAGAGTAAGGGAAATTTATGTGGGGTGGGTTTGAACCCAGGGCTCCTGCACCCTAATTATCACAGTATTCCCACATGCTATCTTCTTATCTCTTATTTTGAAAACCCTTATCATGTTGGTTTCCTATAAAAGGAACTGAGAACTTAAGGGGCATGACCACCAGTATAATGGGGTGGGAAAAAGTAGGAAAATGTTATTCAGGGAGATTTGAGGCTCTGGTCTGACTAGTTGAAATTCCATGTTTTCTCCTCTTGGATGCTTCATTTAGTGGAGGGTGTAGCAGGGATCCAGCCTATATGAACTTTATTTTTGCATGCTAGCCAAAGTATGTACCTGAACCTGCTCTGAATTAAGTTCATGTTTGGAGATTATTATAGTTATTTAGCTTGCCTCTCAATGAGTTTAAGTTTGATAACATTTCTGATTTTAAAATTACTATTTCAAGAAACTTCCACTAAGGCTCATGAACCAGTTCAGATTTTGGTTCATGTCCTTTTGAAAATTGTTATCCTAGAAAAGGAAAAGCTGTAACGCAGAAATGCCTCATTGAAAAATTGTTTATGTCTTGATAAGTCAGTTTTATATACGTTTATACATATTTAACATACCAAAATCATTTTCTGCAATATTAATACAAACTTACAAATATATAATAAATTACTGCTTATTTAAATAAAATGATCAAGATATTCATATTACTAGATTATATAAGAAGTGAAAGAAAACTACAAATTACATTCATGCTAACGACTTTGTGCATGCAGAATAAGCTTGGCAAAGGAATAGCTCCAAAATGCCCATGTATTTCCCATTCATTTGTGGTTCTCAAGCACCCACTGTGTACAAAGTCCACTATAAATTGTTTCCAGATCCTATAAAACTTTCAATTTAAAATAGAACCAAGGCAGTTCGCTTTCCATGAGCAATACATAATAGCATTAGGAATCTGCTTCTGAGGAATCTGCTTCTGAGTTGCTATTTTATTTGATGTTTCCTCTCATTAATTTTTAAATATAATGTTTTAAGATAGGTTAAATTCCACTGTAGTGGAGAATTACTGCTTCAGTTTGAGTACTAATAGTGAAAATTTTGTTTACTGATAAAAATGGTAGCTTGTTAACAGGTAACATATTACTATGAACCTTAGGATCAATTCAAAGCCCAGTAAAAGCACCATATTTTAATTTATTCCTTGATACATACTGAAAATACTCCTTCATTGCTATCAGTACTGAGCCAGATTGCCAAAGTACAGGACCTTGTCTCCTAGATGACTCAAAGCTCTAGTTTCAGGGAAAGCCTGGGAGTTTGGTCACTGGAATTATTTGTTTCTTCATTTACTCATTTCCTACTACTAGCACTAGAGTGCTAGGCTCTGAGGATGTAAAAATGAAATTTTCAAACATTAAATAGACCCTGGCTTCAAAGAGCTCATACTCTATATAGAGAAAAATTATGATAGAGGTAACCTATTTAATTTGGGGAACAAAGAGGAAGGAGCCCCTGCATTGACTGGGAGAGTGTGGGATGGGATGGGATAATACAAAGGGTTCTTTGAGGAGTTGATGCCTGAACTGAAAGTTAAAAGAGCAGTGAGAAAAATGCAGTGGGGTCAGAATGGCATGCCAGGTACAGGATACAAACAGCACATTACATGGTAAGAACTATAAGCAGTTGATTGTTGATCTTTGTTTTGATGAGACTCCCTCAGTGCTGTGTGGAGGGTGGATTTGAGGAAGAGAGGCTGGGAGCAAAAGACCAGTAAAGCTGCTGATGGTGCAGGTGAATTGAGGGCCTAAACTTAGTGTTTAGTAGCCATGGAGAGAGAAGTAGAATCAAGCAGTGTTTATAATTAACATTAATGACTGAATGTATGGAATAAAGGAGGAAGAGAAGTATCAAGGATAACTCCCAGGTTCCTGGTTTGGTGGTACCTGAAACAGAAATAGGAAGAACAGCTTCAGAAAGAAAGGCACTTTCAATTTTGACATGTGTTTGAAGTGTCTGTAGGTCACTTCCAGGTGGATATGTACAGTGGGCAGTTGGATGTGAGTTTGGAGCTTGGATAAAAGCTAGAGTTACACATTTGGGGATCATCATAATAGGACTGTGGCATCAATGGGCAGAAAGACAGGGACACTTAATTGACCTTTTGTTTTGGGGCTCTGTAGACATTAGGCCCATGTCATCTCATCAGGCCCATGTTTTCTTGGGCCACTGAGACATGATTGCCATTTTCTCTCATGTTTCTGTAGACATTTGCAAAACTGAATATTTCAAGTCCTATCATTTCTTCCTTTGCTGAGAATTCTTCCTTTACAGCACACAGGGCAAAAGGTCTTAAAATACAGTAGTTGATCAATGAATGTTCACCTTCATTGCTTATATTTCTCTGGCTCTCTGTTTACAAAATAAACTTAGTTTATTGCAGGAACTAATTTTTTTCTTCTTAAGTTTAACTTAGAAATTTCTAAGATTCAAGATGAAGTTTAAGGGGGTATACTTCTTAAGTAGATGTCTTCCATTCGCCCTTGGACTAAATCCTTCCTTTTGTCATCACACATTCTTTGTTGCAGGATTTGTTGACAATTAGGGACCATGGCCTTTATTCAGTTGAGAGTTGCAGTAACCTGGCATGAGTGATCCCTGATTCCACGTGGTGACCAACATTGAATTTTCACATTTTGCTTCATTTGAAAAATATGTAGAAAAGAGTCACTAAAAATAAGAACAAACTAGGCTTTGTTGCAATGGAGTGGTTTGGCGAATCACCATATAGAGGAATCGTAGGACATGAAGGATTCAATACTGTGGTAGAATCCAGTTGTCCTCTGAATCGAAGTAAAATATCCTTTTTGAAAGCACTGAATTTCTGGGATTTTTTTTGAATAGTTACCTCTGTGAGGTATGGATGCTGTCCAGGGACTGTAACCTGAGAGGAAACAAGAAACACTTATCTGAGTGATTTCAGATGTTTTGTGGTTACTAACACTGATATCCACCACTAAAATGAAGCCATTATGAAACACATGTAACAGTCTGCCAGGCTTCTGGCTAGTAACAGCTGAAGTCTTGCTCACTGAATGAGTCGTCCAATGCCTGCTGATCCCGTCTATAGTTGTTAATGCAGTTGCCAGGAGTTACAAAGTGAAATCAAGACAGGTCACTTCTCTTGAGATGTAAGCCTAGAGAAGGAAGCAATAGACTGATTCTCCCCCCGTCATTTTCACGGAGAGCAAAGGTAAAGCATTTACTGTGTCCCTTTGTCCCTGGTCTGTACCCCGATTGGGTATCAAGATTATTTGTAAGTGAAATTCTTTTCACAGTTTATTCCATTTTCCTTGCAGCTGATATAAATGTACAGGTTTATTGCTTCCTTAAAAAACTTTAACTTAGTTTTCTTCATGAGTCTGAATTTTCAGCTAGATTTGATGGGATTTTTTGGGGGTGGGGGGAGGTAAGGGGAGGAAACAATCAGGAAATATAAGACAAATGCTAACTGAACACCATGTCCACCAAGAGACACTTTTATAGGTGGAGAAGGAAAAGAATAGAGAGTAACATTTATGTAACCACCAGTTGGTACATATTTTAGCCATTCATTTAAACTTCCAAAGTATTGCTTTCCAGTCTTTTCCTAGAACTAATAGCTAAAGCCAACATGTACTGCATTAGTCTAACTGGAAATGGGCAGTTAATAACTTTCTACAAAGGTGTGACAGTATTTATGAGGTTACATAAAAATAATTTAGATTTACTCTAAGGAAAACCTTTTTTTAACCCATAGAATGGAAATGTCATAGTAAATAACAGGAAAATAAAGGGCCTTTAAAGCAAAGATTCACATAGAGCTGAGGTCTTTCCAGCTCTATTCATCTTCTCAGTAAGAGGAGAGAGGATTAACAACTAATGAGCCCCAAAATGGCACTGTGAGGAAAACCTGTAAAGCAAGGAGACTTGGAATCCTGCAGTTTTGTCAGCTGAAAAGCAGGACTTTTATTATGTCCTAGAGATGAAATAATGAAATACAAAGCCAGTTTTTATATCTTTTCCCAGGAGTAGCTCTGCACAGAAACACTGCTGTGGTTGGCATCAGACCCACTAAGCAAAGTAGAAAAATCTTAAGTTTCTTAGAAAGAGTCATATCAAAGAGGAAGAGGCACAATCTGGCCAACTAAATCAGGTACTTAAACTCATTTAGTTCATTCACATAAATCTACTTGGGCTCAAACTTTTTCCCTATTCCCTTCTATGAAGAAATGACTGAAACATCTGTCCTAACAACTAAAACCTGGAATTTGCATGATGGGAAAACTCACCATCAGTTGCTTATAAAAGGGCTACAAAATACATATATCACCTGCTTGATATAGTGGTAAAATCTGTGCATCAAATTTTATTTGTAATGAAATTCTAAGGAACTTGTATCCCAATCTATTTTTTAATAGCAGAAATTATGTTTTATAGAATGGGTGTTAAAATATTCTATGAAGCTTGGAAGTATTTTGGCTGTATTTTTTAATAATTATTAAGAAGGCTTGTTTCATCTTTTAATCATAAAAGGTATCACAAGAAATAGGATTTGGCTTCTGTTAAAGAAAAATCAATTGCCAGTTGGGAAAAAGCATTTTTCTGGCTTGTTCCTATTATTCCCCATTTCCCATTCTCCCTTCACAAAGTTCAAGTCTGATGCTGTCTTTTCCTTCTGATTTGATGTTTCTACTTTTGGGACATTCCTGACTTAGAATCCTTCTGGTTAAGTTATGAGGGCTATATTTTAATAACAAAAACTAGGACTGTATACTTACTTACATTTATTTTATAGGACCCAGGCAAAAGGAGGAGATAATACTCTCCAAATTTGTTGGTTCTATAGGGGCAGATGTGTTTTCTGTCTTGGACTTCTACAATTACATTGGGTAATGGATTTCCATTCCGATCAAAAACTTGACCCTTTACACCTGTAAGACGAAGAGAAATGTTACTACCACATTTTATGGTATATGAAATAATTTTTTGTACTTATTTAAGAAAAATGTTCAGTATTTATTAAGGTGTTTTGAATTAATAAAGAGAGTGGAAGGCAAATTTTTTGAAAAACTGAGATATGATTGACATACAACATTAGTTTCAGGTGTGCAATATGATTTGAAGTACACATAATGTGAAATGATCACCACAATATGGCCAGTTAACAATTTTTTTTTTCTCTGGCGATTAGAGTTGATGGTAGCTGTGGGTTTGTCATATATGGCCTTTATTATATTGAGGTACATTCCCTCTATACCCACTTTATGGAGAGTTTATCGTGAATGGATGCTGATTTTGTCAAATGCTTCTTCTGCATCTATTGAGATGACCATAAGGTTTTTATCCTTCCTTTTGCTAATGTGGTATATCACATTGATTTGCAGATACTGAACTATCCTTCCATTCCTAGAATAAATCCCACTTAATCATGGTGAGTGATCTTTTAATTTATTTGTTAATTTGGTTTGCTGATATTTTGTTGAGGATTTCTGCATCTATGTTCATCAAGGATTTTGGCCTGTAATTTTTTTTTAGTGTCTTTTGTTTGGTTTTGTTATCAAGGTGATGCTAGCCTCAGAATGATTTGGAAGCGTTCCTTCCTCTTCAATTTTTGGAATAGTTTGAGAAAGACAGATGTTCTTTAAATGTTTGGTAGAAATCTGTGATGCCATCTGGTCTTTTATTCCTATGAATTTCCCTCTCAGAACTGCTTTTGCTGCATCCCATAAGTTTTGGTATGTTGTATTTCATTTTCATTTGTTTCAAGGTTTTTTTGTTTTATCTTTTGGTTTCTGCTTGATGTATTGGTTGTTCAATAGGATGTTTCATCTCCACAGATTTGTGAATTTTCCAGTTTTTTTTCTTGTTGATTCCTTGTTTTATAGCATTGTGGTTGGAAAAGATGCTTGATATGATTTCAATTTTCTTAACTTATTAAGATTTGTTTTGTGGCCTAGCATGTGAATCGATCCTGGAGAATGTTCCATGTGCCCTTGAGAAAATGTGTGTTCTATTCTTTTGGTAGGAATATTCTGTATATGTCTGTTAAGTCCATCTGGTCTAATGTATCATTTAAAGCCAATGTTTCCTTAGTGGTTTTGCCTGGGTGATCTTTCCATTGATGAAAGTGGGGTATTAAAGTCCCCTACTATTATTATATTGTCTTATTTCTCCCTTTGGGGTCTGTTAAAATTTGCTTTATATATTTAGGTGCTCCTAATATTTACAAATGTTGTATCTTCTTGTTAGATTGACCCCATTATGTAATAACCTTGTCTGTTATTACAGTCTTTACCTTAAAGCCTAAGTATAGCTATTCCAGTTTTCTTTTGGATTCCATTTGTATGAAATTCCTTTCTAGTCTTTGTGTGTGTCCTTATATCTGAAGATAGTCTCCTGTAGACAGCATATAGATGGGTCTTAGCCTTTTTATCCATTTAGCCACTGTCTTTTGAAAAACTTAGTCCATTTACATTTAAAGTAATTATTGCTAGGTATATACTTACTGCCTTTTTCATAATTGTTTTCTGGCTGTCTTGTTCCTTTTCTTGCCCTCTTCCTTTGTGATGTGATATTTTTTATAATGGTATGCTTAGATTTTTTTTTTGTCTTTTGTGCATCTATAGGTTTTTGCTTTGTGGTTACCATGAGACTTACATTAAACTACTTATTTTTATAAAAGTCTATTTTAAGTTGATAACAACTTAAGTTCAAATGCATTTTAAAGTTCTACATTTGTACTCCCCTTGCCCATGTTTTATGTTTCTGACATCACAATTTATATCTTGCATATCCATTAACAAATTATTATAATTATAGTAGCCTTAATACTTTTGCCTTTTAACCTTTCATACTAGTTTCATAAGTGATTAAAACCCACTATCTTTATGATATTAGATTAGTAATAGAATAAATATTTACCTTTGCTAGTGAGGTTAATCCTTTCTTATGTTTTGCTGTTACTGATTAATGCCCCTTTCATTCCAGCTTAAGGAAGTTCCTTTAACATTTATTGTAAGGGTGTTCTAGTGATGATGAAATCCTTTAACTTTTACTTGTCTGGAAGGATAACTTTGCCAGGTAGAATACACTTGGTTTGGCATTTTTTTCCTTTCAGTACTTTGTGAATATGTCATGTCATGTCATTCCCTTCCAGCTTGCAAAGTTTCTGCTGAAAAATCTGATAATCTTACAAAGTTTCCTTGTATGTAAGTTTGTTTTCCTATTACTGCTTTCAAGATTTTCTCCTTGTCTTTAACTTTTGACATTGTAATTATAATGTGCCTTAGTGTGGATCTCTTGGGGTTGTTTGTCCTTTTGAACCTGTGAACACAAGCTCTGCTGGTCAACAGAGCCAGGCTATCAAGGGATGAGTCTCCTGGGCAGCAGCCACAAAAGCTGGGGTACCAGATGTGTACACATGCTTCTATCTTGGAGCACCAGTGACCTGGGGTAGGGCAGAGAGAGAGAGAGGATACAGGTGGTGCATGCTGACCTCCACCGACCTCCCTGGTCTCAGGAAAGGACTGCAGTCTGCCCTTAGATGTGTGTTAAATAATTTGAGGCCTGCCCCTCAGGCCATGGCTGTGAAGGTAAGCAAATAGGCTTCTTTCACAGAAAGACTGGGCATTTCCGTCTGCTACCTATCTGCTGTGTCCTGGGGTGGTCAGTTAAGTACTCTTTCTCCATTTATTGTGGTCTTGTGGGACCTGTGAACAGAAGCTCTGCTGGCCACCAGAGCCAGATAATCAAAAGGGATGCCCTGGGTATTAGCCACAAAAAAAGGTGAGTGCACAGCACCTCTCCAGGAGATACCAGTCAACTGCAGGGAGGGAGGGCCCCACGAGGGCACCCACCGTCCTTGGAGAGTATTTCAGTAGACTCTCAGATGGCGTGTTAAATTAGATGCCTGCCCCTCGGGCCAAAGCTTTAAGTCAAGCAAATAGACTTTTTTCACAGAAAAACTGGATGCTGCTTTTCAGTCATCTGCCTCTGTCCTGGGAGGTAGCCAGGTGAGTATGTGAGTCCTTTTAAGAACTCTTTCTCAGTTCGCTATAACTTTGAGGGTCTCATGGACACATGCCCCTTGTCTTTCAAAGCTAGATGTTTTGGGGGCTTTTATCCTGGGTGCAGGTCTTAAAAGTTGGGGTGACAGATGCGGAGTTCAAACCCTTCTCAGGGGAAGTTTGGAGTGTGAGTTCCTTCTTGATTGTGGGTCACTGTGGGGGTCATGGCATGGTTGCATCTCAGCCTTTTCTACCCACTTCAGTGTGGGTTTACTGTGATTCACCCAATGTATAGGAGTCAGGTTGGTTTTTAGTTTCTCTCAGAAGAAACTGTTCCATGTATAGCTGTAGATTTCGTGTGTCTGTGAGGTGGTGAGTTCAGGGTCCTCCTACGCTGCCTTCTTGAACCAGAACTTGGTAAACTAATTTTTGATATAACAGTCAAGCTACCAATCTGACTTATAGGTTAAGTCTGTGGTTGACTATTCATTCTAATTATAGCATATCAAAATGAGAGAACACAGATGATAATCTACATCCATTCCTGTCATTTTGAAGTTGTTTACTCAGTCACCAAACTGCTGCAGTGTTGCCACAGGTAGATTCCATAAAATTCTAAACAAAACTAAATGCCATTGTATTAACTTACAGTAAGATACTTATCTATGCAAGGACTCAGTAGTCTAGTGCTCAGGCAAACTACATGGGAAAAAATTATAATCACAAGGGTATTTGGAAGCAGAAATCAATAGATGGGGTCTTAATACTAGTAAGAGGAACAAACATTTATTGAGTAGTATGTTTCAGGCTCTATGCTGAGTGCTTAATGTGCATTTTCTTGTTGAATCCTCACATTGGCATCTTGCTCCTCCCCAGAGAGGATAATACGCAGGATGTTCCAGGCCCCTGGAATTCAGACTTAGCCTCTGGCCACCACAGCCTTTATCCCGAGGCAAGCAAGTCCTCTTAGCGTGACTGCAGAGCACTAAGGTTTCTGAGTTTAGACTGAGGTCAGCAGTGAGATTTAACTGACAGAATAGTTCCAGTGGAGCCTTAAAACAAGTTGGGGTGAGACAAGGCAGATGACCAAACAGCTTGAGCCTTTCCTGGGCTCCTGCCTTCCTCACCAGGCCCTTCCATTAGAACAGGAGCCTTTCCTTCCCAGACAAGTTAGGCCAGAGACTTGCAGATGGGTAAAAATCTAAGAGACTCAGAGGTATCTTAGCAAGTGGTGAGACTGAGCCAGTGAAGTTAACACATCTGGACAAATACCAGTATTTCCTGAACACCAGTAAAGAGGTGTTTGCTCACATCACCCACAAACAAAAGTATTCTTCAGCTTCCTATTGGGCACCAATATCGAGAGAACCTGCCTATCAAGTAATAATTGCACTGTTAGTATTGTGAAAAACATGCCTCTGTCTTAAACCACAAGGGGGCAGGGTTGATGTGCCAATATTTATGTTCTTTAAGTGAGTTGGGCACATCTTGATTATAGGGACCTGCAGATAAATTCCTGTGTAAGTGGACTTGTAAGCCCCACAAATTAATAATCACAATAGTTATGCTGTAATATGTACATTTAACAGTTTACAGGGCTCTTTTACTGGCAATATTATGTCAGCACAGTACTTCAGAGCCTACCTGAATTCAATGGTAGGTAAATAACCTTTATAGCTAGTTTGAAATCCGAAGAGTGGTAGTTACATGAAACATATATTTCATGTTCAGTTGCACTCCCATGATGGTGCTGGAGAAATTTTAAAAAAGAATAGGCAGACACTAAAGGATTTATATAGGTAGAAATAAAATAAGACTTAAGTTCCTGTGTGCCCCATAAGGAAAATCTAGTGAAGAATACCAGAGTACTAAGCAAGAGGGAACCCAAAACAAGGTTTGATGACATCATGAGAAAGGAGAAAGACCCAATAAGCTTAATAAATGTTACTAAGATGCTGGTGAAAAATATGATATTTGTAACATCCCCATCAGAGACTATCAACCTGCCCCATAAATGTCTCAGCCAGTTACACACAGCTCTGTAAGTTCACCAGAATCTATAAACTTGGGTTCAGCAGGGGAGGTGGGATGGGGCAGGGCGGGCAACAGTTGGGGATAGACGTCATGAAAGGGGAGAGAGGCATTCACTTTAAGGATGTGTGGCCAAGGGAAGTTCCTGATTGTCCTTGTACTCAGCCCTGTACCCCTGTGCTTCTGACTTCCCTCCCACAACTGTCACCACCTCTTTTTAGCAGGTGGAAAGCTTTGGTGTAAAGCATGCAGAAGATTCCAGGAATTTTGCTATTACGCAGCAGGCCCATAATGCAAACCTCTTCAACACAAACTCACACCTTCCACTTTGGCTTTATGTTGGTAGCATAGTTAGTGCGCCAAATCCTGGTATGTCCTTTTCACCCCTCAAAGCCATTATGAATGGAGAAAAATAACTAACTCTGGCAGTGCAGAAGAGCCATCTACATTCTGCCCAAAGACACAGACTGGTTACACCTGAACTATGCATGATTCCATCCTCATCCCGAGCAGTCTGTTTCTCTTGTGCAATGATTTTCAAAGCCTGGGCCCTGGACCAGCAGTCAGCAACACCTGGGGAGATGCTATTCCAGACCCACTAAGTCAGAAACTCCAGGGATAGCACCTAGCTATCTGTTTTAACAAGCCCTCCTGGCAAGTCTATGGCACATATTTAAGAACTACTACTCTTGCCACATCTGTTCATCTGTGATAAAGGCCACATAGCCATCAGGGGTCATTTGCCAGTGTGGGGTCATTTAATGTGTTGAGAGATGAAAGCGGTTGAAACTAATGGTGCTATAGCACCATTATAGTGTGAAAAAATGCAAAATGGCATGTCCAGTGTTCTCTGGGTCTGTGGTGTTATACGACAAGTGACAGGCAAGCTTAGCTTTTTCTAAATGGGTGATAGTGAAAGAGTAGTAACTTGTTTCCTGATCTTTTGCCAGATTTCCAGGTCATTCAACATGTAAAATCAGAAGAACTCTGTTTTCTGCTCCCATATTAAAGTAACCTACATCATGCTGTCTCTTATATGAACTGATGGGTACTGCATTTCTCACATACTGCAGACTCATGCATAAAGAAGTTTTAACCACTAGTTCTGTCCTGAAAATGAGGCCATACCTAGAAAACAAATAGGGGGTTGCATTTTTTCAACCCAAAGCTTTTGCCAGATGCTATATTTTGTGTCAGTAGGAATTAAGAAAATCTTACAAACCTAGGTGCACCTGTTTTATATATTCAATTAATGAGGCTTTGTTTTCATTCCAGTAGATTGGAAGCTCCTCCTCACGAGGATATTTACAGCATGACAGCTCCAATGTGATTTCAAAACACTGGGCCCAGATGTAGTTGTAATCTTGCATTCCACCTAAATACAAACATTTAAATTTTTTTTAAGTCTAAAATTGTAATGGAGCCAAGTATCATATACTTTGGGGACAAATGAATCAGTTGCAAGGAAAAGTACATGTAAAGAGGAAAAGATCAATTTGACATATTAGCATGTGAAATCAGGGCTTGACATTACTCAGGCATAGCCAGGCAGTCCTAAACTACCACATGGGTAACCAGAGCAGAACTGACTTGAGTTCAAATGTGCATCAAAACTGAGGGGGAGGTAGAGGGTCCTTTTAAAAAAAATCATGTTACAGAAAGGTTACAAATTACATTTATTCCCTAAATTACATTTTAAATGTGACAAGAGCAAAATTTCTTTAAAAATATTTTTACCAACATTCATAAATACATTATATAAAACTAAGTACACTCCTTTGGAGGAGTAATAATGGCTAACCTTTACCAAGTGTTCACTATTGCTAGGTACCATTTGAAGAGCTTTGTATCAACTCATTCAGTCCTCACGGCAATCACGAAAACTTTACATCTGAGGAAAATTAATCACAGATGGTAAGTAGCATGTCCTGGGATTCTAGCCCGTGAACTCCAGAGTGTGGAGCACAGGACATCTTGCCCAAGATCTGGTGCTCTTATCCATTATACCAAATTGCTGCTAGGATTGAAAGGAGGCAGTGCTGACTCTCAGGTGGAAAATACCAGATGTCCTTGCTTCTGGGGTCACCTTTGCTCATGCTCACTTTCAGTTCCTGCCTTGAGATCATATTTCATGTGGATATATGTAAAAATTTCTGAATTGGGATGTATTTTGAATGTGATGGCTGAAAAACATCATTGTATCATTAATCTGGCTGGAAACCTTTTTGTCTTGGTGGTACATTATATTTTACAATCAATAGCAATGTTGGATTTGATGAAATATAGTAACTTTGATGGAAATGCTGCCAGATTTTGTTATACTTGATATTTGCCCAGTAGAATGTGTATTCTCAATTCCGTCAGAGTACTTGGGAAGTACTGAATTAGAAAAAATTTCATGCTGATAGCCAAAATATTATTTAAATACTAAGTAACATCTACGTAGGTCTAGATTCCAGCCAGGAAAAATTTCTCTATTTCATTTACTTGTAAGATTTGTATTTCTCTTTGGCTTCATTTTCACCAAGAAATAAAAGAAAAAAGGATGAGAGAAACAAAACAAAAGCCATTGGCTGGATGACGGTATCTCACATAGAAAAAATTTAAAAAGCAAAATAGGTGTGCAAAGCATGCAGGATTGAGAATGCCAAGCATGGAGAGAGTAGGGCACTCTGAGGCCCTGGGGAGCCAGTCCCAGCCCACCGTCTCCTCTCTTGCCCTGCCATCCTATGTCCTAACCATTCTCAGCTCCCTAACTGGGAGGAGCTCTACACCCCCGGGCAATCCCCTCCCTCACTGGCCATTCTGTTGCAAGGGCAGAAAGCTGAAGACCCCCCTCCTGCTGTATCCAGCTGGGACAGCTCTTTTGTTTAACCTGCAGAGTGGCTTTAAAATCATGATACTTCATGTACAAATCCAGCTTGTTTTATAAGCCAGAAGATCTGGCAATAGTAGAGTAGTAGGATCCCACTGCTGCATGGCAGTAATTAGCTGGATCTAAGTCCCCAGTAGATAAAGCCTAAGTATTAGCTTTCTCCGTGTCTTCACTACTTCCTATTGTATTGGCTTTACACCCCTGTGGTACACTGTATCTTTTATAAATTTCTTTTTCTAATTACATGACCATCACCATTTATTTTCATGTTGCTCTCCCCTACCTGTGTCCTGTTCATCTTTCTTGGCACAGTTCCTGGCTCATTAGGTAGGTGCTGAACAGGCATCCGAGCATCTCTCCCGCCACCATCCACCACCAGTATCCGCTGACAGAGATGGAAGGGACTGCACTGTGGGTGAAGGCAGCAGAGTGCTAGAAATGAAGAAGAACTCACCTTTGAGGGGATACCAAGAGTATCCATTGATAATTCCATTATGAGAGTTCACAGTTTTACACTCATTTCCTTTCTTCATGTTGACATTTTGTGAAGCGTAGGTATGTGCAAGGTATTGAAAAACGTCATCATCAAGGGTTAAGCTACGGTAGTGTAATGTCCCAGTTGCTGCATGTGAAAGACAAACCAAGACCTTTCAGTTGATATGAGAGGAAACATACACCATATTAAATTAATCATCACATTGCACACAAGGCTCTCATTTCCTAGAGATCCTCTACTTCCGTGAGTGCTCTTTTTACTCTTCTTGGTTTTTAATGAACATACACAAGGTGATATCACATAAAATATGCCATGTACATGTTCAAACTCCTAAATCAGCTGAGAAGTTAAATATCCTCAGGCACTCTTGCTAGTTTCTGGAGGTCAGTAAACTTTCCCTACATATTATAGAGGTTAAATGAAGCCACTGTAATATTTTTCAGTCCTTTGTACATACCTCATCTCACAGAATTTTAAAAGAAGGTAAGTAGATTTATTTTCCTTTAGCCATTTTGCCTTGTCAGGTAACCTAAACCCCGATTTTACCGTTTCCCTGATGAGTGTCCCATAATACTGCTCTTGGTTGTCAGTCCAGCCACACTGCCCATCTACGGTTTATAAGCTGTGGGAAGGATGAGAAAATGAGGCTCTTCCTACTGCTGCAGAGAAGGTAAGTGGGAGGCGGTAGTTCGTCCCCCCGTAGAGGCAGGGTTTGCAGCTCCGCTCGGACGGGGAAAGCTGGAGCGGGGTCGGGCCGCCTGCTTACCCGGGACACCATTGTCCAGCGGGTAGCTGGCCACCAGTGCGCCGCCGTGGAGGTTGGCAGAGAGGACGAATGTCTCCCTGTGCAGCCACTCCATGACCGACGCGGTCTCAGGCTGCCTCGTCACATTGTTGTCTTCAAATGCATCGGGGAAATTTCTATTCAGGTCATAGTGGTTAGCATTTTCCCTTTAAAAGAAAGAATTGTTTTAGGGTTTGCCTACAGTTGGTGAGGGAGTGGATTCATGCAGGGTTTAGGGTGTAGACCTTGGTTGGGCTCCAGGTGCTTCTCCAAGTGTTAACAAGGGTGGTGATGGTTGCCTCGCTGGCCCCCCGGGACTCACACTTGGTGCTCACACAATATGTAGTCCCCTCCTGTGTGACTTGCTCTCATGAGTGGGGGGGTAGGTATGATGTAAGCATGGCACTGGGACTTTGCATTTCGGGGCTTTTGCTCTTGGAGCACGCCCTTCTGGCACCCTGAGGCCTCAGGGCTGGCCATGTGGAGAGTCTACGTGGAGGAGCGAGGAACCCAGCTGACGGAACTGGGACTCCGCATGCGTGGCCCCAGGCTGGTTGTCTCAGCCGGACCCCTGCTGTGGCCCCAGACAGCATGGCACAGAGAATAGCCTCCTTGCTCTGCCTGTGCAAATTCCTAACCTACATAATTGAGAGTAAATAACAAGGTTTTAGTACCTGAATTTTGGGTGGTTTGTTAACATAGCAATTGATAATGGATATACCAGGAACAAGCTACTTTATACAAATTATTTCTGGAACATGGATTGGGCATGTTTAAATATGTTGAATAAAGCTAGAAATATCTAATGTTGTAGGGAACCAAATGGTGAGATTTTATTTTTGGTAAAAGCAAATAAATGCTTAACTGCACAAACATAAATGTATATTAGTTGAGAAATTCCAAACTTTCCATGGCAGCTTGGAACAAAATAAACTGTTTAAATAAAAAATACTACAAGACTCACTCTTCTTTTTTCGTTAATTCTTATTGTGGCTTCATAAATCCACCAGTAACTATTGAGGGCCTAGGCACTGTGCCAGGCACTGGGGATTTAAACATGATGAACAAACACGGGATTCCTGCCTTCAGGGAGCTTACAGTTTTGTGGGGAGAGGGACATTAAACAAGAAATTAGATCTTAAAAATTGTGCTCTGAAGGTAAAGTGGGGACCTAGCATGACAGGTGAGGAAGGAGTCTTTGAGGAAATGCTGTCAGCAGGGGGCACGGTGAGGAAGAGAATGGGATGTGCTCAAGACTGAGGCTAGGAAGAGCCTGGTGGTTCCAGATGAAGGACCTCAGGCTTCGGAAGCAGGGTGAGTGTGGAGGAGTGGCAAGGGAAGCCGGAGCAGTACGAGGGGCACAGGAGGAAAGCAGTTCCTTCAGGGTTTTATTTTTCATACTAAAAGCAATGGGGCCCTAAAGAGCTTTCAGCACAATGGTGATGAATGAGATGGCCCACTCACTTCTCTCCACAGGGCCAAGGGGTGTTATCTGATGGGGGCCTTTCTGTTGTTTTAATAAACATGGGCCAGCCCACCTTACCTTCCTTCACTGTATGAACAGTCAGGCTTTCGGACAGCTTCGAACCCGTCTGGGTTCATTGAAGGCATGATGTGTATTCGGGTACTGTTGATTAGATTTGTGATTTCAAGGTCTTTTCCATCACTGGTCACAAGATGCTCAATTAAATGGAGCAACAGTTCCCGCCCTACAGTCTGTTAAAGAGGAAAACAAGGAAAACAGTCCCCAAAGCACACATTCCCAAACAAAGGACCCTACACGTGGTAGCTGAGACCACAGCCATTTGTGAGACCATTTCTCAAGCACACTGATGCTCTGGCAAGTGGCACTCAATCACTAGTGTGCTAAAAACTATATTAACAAAAATTTAAGAAAAATTGTTATGCGCCTTTTATTATTTACTTTTTAAAAAATGAATTAGAATGGATTGAAGGTTATTTTCATTATAACAATTTGCCTGTCTTCCAAAATACTTTCTGAAGTGGTGGACAAAGAGGTGGCATTACAGAGAAGGCACAGGAGCTGCGTATCTCCATGAGAAAGCACGGTGTGTATGAAAGCCATCTTGTATGTCTTGGTGTATAAGAGATTGAGAACCACTGCAATAGACATAGGGAGATTTTAGTAGAAAAAAAACCAAGTTTGTAATAAGCATACTTTAAATAGGTTTCAGATTTCCATATCCCCCAATTTACAAAGTCCTCTATTGCACATTTGTGTAAATTTTGCCATATCTGTAAATTTCTGATTTCCACTTTCTTGTGTTTCTGAAATTTTAGTCATCGTACATATCCAAGATTTTTTACCATCTCTGCATATTATCTCTACTGTTGTTTAGTTTATATTTTCTTTAAATTGGCTTACTTTTTGCTTATATTAAAAATGAAAACCATTTTGTCATTATCACTTTGCTAGATATGTTTCTAATGTACATTAAAATAAAAGCATTACTATGAAAATAGAAATGGTCACATCCAGCGGGAAACTGAAGACCTGTGAGAGACCTTGCTTTATAATCTCCAATAAAAGATTTACTATTTTTCTTATTAAAAAATAAAATAATTCACATTTCAGTCTTACTATAGAAAGGTTTGATTAGGCTGTATCATTTTCATCCTATAATGCTAGTTTCAAGGAACCTGCTTCTCAATAAGGAATGGTTGCCTGTTACATAAGATCAGATGCTGTTGAGTGGGTAGTAAATGGGAAATCAGATGCAGCAAGTGATTAAGGACAGTGATACAGAGGCATTAATGTAGGCAGGGGGCGGAAAAATAATTTTTAATGACAGCTCCACTGTATGAATTCACTGTTGTGACAAAGGATAAGCAGTCCTTGAATGGCAGTTCCTCGCTTCATTCACTTCACTGACAAGCAAAAAGACTGCATTTTATGAATTTGTTATCCTAATGAATGTAGAATAATTGAAACTGGGGTAAGAAAACTTGGGATATGTGAATTACATATTCATAAGTAACAGTAAAATTCAGAGTTGAAAAATATATTCAATTCTGATTTCGATTTTTTTTCTACTCATTTTTATCTTCTTCCACTACCTTAATTTTTGTTATAATTCAAAATTGTAAACCTGAAAAAGTCCTTACAAACTAATAAACAAAAAAGACCAGCCACATGCTGGGTTTCCAGTTCTGTGCTTCGGGAGCTCTCATACTGTGGAAGCGACCCCCAGTAGCTCCTTACTGGCTGCCCACAATCAGGGCGGGAGTGGTGGTGACTTCAGTTTGTGAAAGGTTACTGGAAAATGGAAAGTGTGCCAAAGTAAGGAGCTTTTTTGCTAAAGGGCTGGGGAAGAGAAAAAGGTTAAGTGAGGAAAGGGTGGAGGAAGTGGCCAGGAGTGACTTGCAGTTCCTAAAACTTCTCAATGCTGGTTGGAGACTGTGGGACGGTTCAGTTAGAGGGATGAACCAGGAAGAACCTGAGGCCCATCTGAGTCCCAAGTCCAGTACAGAGCAGGACCCTATCAGAACCCCATGTGGTTCTAAACGTGACTCCCTCTTAACTACGAACCATACATTCTCAGGATGCCAGGACTCATGAATTGAGTTGGCAACGAAGTTCTTCCAACCAAAAGGAAATGAAAACAAAAACTAAAGAAGCTATGATTAAGCTATAGAACTTGATTTAAGCAACTGTGGTAGTATAGTCTTAACAGAATGTAAAAATTAAGGTTTATAATAAACAGAGGGTGGGGTTGGGGGAGAGGAAAGAAGAAAGACTGCCAGTTTCTTCACTTTCATAGCACTGGGTCATAAGATACTACCAAAGTAAAAAAAACAACAACACATATTTCAAATGATTACAATGTCTAAGTTTTCCTAATTTTTTTTCTTGACTTTAGAAGAATCTTTGATAATTCCTTATTTTCAGAAAATATTTATCAAGTCCACCAATTATTTAAAATTTCACCTTAGTTCTATTGTGTTATATTTGAGTAAAATTAAATCTAATACTTCTTATATAAAGATAACACATTCATCTCATTCATTCATGTTTTATGTATAAACCTCCCTTTGTTTAAAATTAAGTCTTTGAATATGAAACCTTACAGAGTCCAAATTTCACAAAAAAATATGGTCAAAACAGTCTCTAGTAGCTTAACCAGCTTTTCATTTAACATGCTCCCTTCTTTTTCATGAGAGTGTACACTTAATGCAAGAATCCTAATTAAAAGACTGGAAGGCTGGGTGAACACATGAGCTTCTGGAACCTTTTCCTGATCTCACCTACTAGCCGAACTGGCAATAACCCAGAAAGAAGAAAAAACATTCTGGCAATAACCCAGAAAGAAGAAAAAACATTCTCTATCAGTTTTAGTTCAGTCAAGTTGGAATTTGCTAGGTAGATAAAAATCAGTGCTCTAGCTCTTGAAAGAATGTCTATAAACAATGGAAAATTTTTTTGAGGAATCCACAACACAGCTAATGTGTTATGTGAGAGACAGTACAAAACCTTCACCTATCCTAATGATGGAACCTGTTCTGGAATGCTATACTGAAATGCAGCTTCTGAGGTAGAAACAAGCCTGTCAGTTCCAGAGCTCCACATAATGTGTTACAGATCTAGGTCACTTGTCTGATTGCCCAGCTATAGCCTTCTTCAAATACCAGCCAAAGGGACACATTATCTAGCACACTTTTCCCGGGCCTCCCAAAGTCTGGTTTCCGTGACCTGCCTGTGTGCTCCCATAACTCTACACAGGTGCTGTCCTAACACCGCTCACACACACTGCAACGGCCTGACTGAGCTGGACCACTCCACTCCGACTCCACCATCTAAGTCTAGAGGGCAGGGATCCTAACCAGCTTCCTCGGGGGCTCTGGTATCTTGGCCTAGCTCCTGGTGCACAAATTATTTCATTTGAAGGATTTGCAATATTGAACAGTATTTACAAGGTGGGGCTCACCATTCTGATCATGCCAAAGACTCGGGGTATCTGGTCACCCTGGCCCAGCCTCATCAAAAAGGGAGATGAAGAGGAAAAGGATAATCATATGAGGAACTTTACACTTGATTAAAACGAGTTAGACACTTCACCTGAAATAAAAACTCGTTCTGTTAAATCCATAAAGAAAGAATGATCCAAAATCATACTGTATAATAGGACATTTTGCTACCATCTGGGATAGTGTGTAGAAAAGAGCTTGGAAAGGCATTTGGAAGGACAAGCCTTAAATTTTTGTTTTGTTTGAGTCTCTTTGGCACCTCAACTGCATGCTGATGACACATCCCAGGATTTTCCTGGACAGGCACAATTTCAGATACTATGTCCTGTTGTTCATATAAATCATTAAAATATTTTCTAACTACAAACATTTAGGCATACAAACTTCATCTCACAAACTGTCTCTTATTCCTGGAAGGTGTGTGAAGAACATTTATTTTCAGGTTGAAAAATATGGTCACTATTATCCAGGGATTATTTTTCCTTTCAACCTAAATATCTTGAATACAATGCACTTTAAATTAATGCTACCAAATGTGAAATTCTAAGTGTGATGTGGACATCTCAAAAATCTGAACCTGAATAAACCATCATCATAAACATAATTCATTAATGCTTGAGAAACAGAAACTTGGTCGGGGAAGTAGAATCAACTGGTAATTCAGCTAACCCTGACAAGCACAAAGTCAATACCTACTCCCATAGGCCCTGAGGTTAAAGAACCTTGTGAGCCCAGCCTCTGACCTGTTTTGCCTATTACTAGATCAGCTTGAGATGATTGGCACCCAACTTTTTAGGTACATAGTCATGCCTCACTTCAACAATTCCATTAGAGAGGAATTAGAGATGTCTTAACAATTTAGAGATTACCCAAGTGTAAGGTTTTCTTTCTACAAGATTTAAAAAGCCTGGGCTTGAAAACAGGCAGAAAACCAAGAATAGGGAGGGCTCAAGGCACAAGGAGTGATTTTCCCAGGCTTCTGTCCTGCACCCACGTTCAGGCAGAGGGTATTAGATGTCCCCCATTTCAGGGAAGGGTCCCAGTTTTCAGTAAAGCTCTCACCATGGATTACTGGTCATAGTTTACTACAAACCCAGCCAGCAGCAAAATGAGGGGAGGAGAGGGGAACAAAGACCCCACTTCTAACCAGTGTGAATATTTGTGGAGTAAGGGAATGGCAGCCCCACTGAGTGTTCATTGGTATCATCCCTTTCAGTGAAAAATAATCATTAGACATGAGGTGAGTTAGCACTGCCTGTTAGGAGCTTGCATAATTAAACCTGAATCCAGGCTTCTACAATGCAGCATGTCAATGGTGGGCAAACAAGGGCCTGGATGAACTAGAAAAACACCTGCTAGTCTTATTAAGATGAGAAAGGTAGAAACTCAAACATTTCTCATGTTTTCCTGAAAACAGCATGAACATCAGGTGACAGGCTTATCAAAGGCAGGCAGGTGCTCTGCTAGTTCCCCAGTTTGATTCAAAAGCAACTAGAAGGGGGAGGCAGGGAGTAGAAAAAAGAAAGGGGCAGAAATAGGTGACTTGGAGATATTTATTCTAAGAGCTTGCTACTCTTCTACAGGATGAATAAGCCCAAATCTTCCCATCAAATGGCACTGGACCAACCACATAGCAACTTAAACAGAATTTGTCATAGAGCATAGATTGGTAGGTAAAAATGCAAACAATAAGAACAGAACCTTTCAAAAGCAACAGAGAAAGTATAGGAGGCAGAGCCATAGCTTCGTGCTCAGACACTGCATTCAGACAGCTTGTAAGGAGACATAAACCCAGCTTCCCTTCTGGTAAACGGGACAAACACACATGACTTCTGCAGAAGCGATGAGAAGAAACGCCCACAAGGCACCTAGTACTGTCTGTGCCTGACAAATGTGTTGGCTGTTACTAGGTTCCTGCAAAATACTGTACAGATGGTAACTGGACTCTCCGATCAACAAGGCAACAGTGAGCCGGTGTCATCCAAAAGATGTGAGCCAATGGCAAGGCGATTGAAGATGACTAGGAAAATATCATACAGAACAAGAATAGGTTTAACTTCACTACTTTTATAACAGTACTTGCCTGCAAATGGGCCATTTCAAGTTGATTTTGCCTCCCAGTTTGCCTTTTTCATTCTTGAGTGCAGCCAGGTGAATTAGCCTGGATGCTTAGCATCAGCCAAAGGAATGCACCTTTGTAATCCCTAAGATGTGTATTAGCCAGAAAGGTTTCATCTAAATCTTACAAGGAACCTTCAGTTTGAAGTAAATAGTGGGACAAGAGGCACAAGTTTTTGATACTATAAAAGGAAGGCAACCACAAATCCAGAATGTGGGAGATTGTGTAGGACAGATGACAATAGGGTCTCTTTATTAAGTCCACAGTCATGAAAAGATCCTTTAAGTGCTGGATAGCAGAGGTTCAAGGGATAGATCGACCAAATGTGATGCATGGCCCTGGACTGGATCCTGACTTGGACACTTCTGAGGACATTCTGAGGACGACTGGAGAAACTAGAGTGTGGGGTGCGAGAGAACAACAGGATAAACGTTCAGTGACATGAAAGGGTAGCTAGTGTTAACTTAAAAGTGTGTTACAAATAGCACATTAATATGACTGACTCATTGGGAAAACGTCATGTACACATAGGCACACCCAAATATCTAGAAGGATAAATAGTAAGGAATTAACATTACTAATTCTGGAAGGGCAGTATATAATATTTTATTCATTTTGGTTTATCTGTATTTTTCCCTAAGATGTCCATATGTTGATTTTGTATTAAGAACAGATTATTTTTAATTTTAAAAAGATCTGATTCTAAAACCAGGCATAATGAGGTAAGGTAAAACTTATAGCAGGTATGATGAGCAGCGTCGGGACTTCCTGATACTGCTCATGCTGTCACCTAGCCTTGGTAGTAAGTGTGGGACATGGGTGCACACACACACACACACACACACACACACACACACTTTGGGGTGGGGTCCAGGTGAGACAAGAAATAGTTTTGAAATAGTGTGGCCAGTTCTGTCCATCATGCCTCAGTGCGCAGATCCCCCTTGCTAGGATTCTCCACGTGAGATCCAGGAATTCCTACAAGATCCATTGACCCTGAGCGCAGCATTCAATGTTTGTGCCAGAATATCCATCCAAGGAAGGTAAGAACCACTGCCCTATAATATCAGCTACATTGCTTTTTAACAATGTGTTCTTGAAAATGTTCTTTTAATTCCAATGCTCTGAGAGAGGAAGGATGAGTGAAGGTTAGAGTCTCTACTCAGAGTGACTCCTGGGTTAAGCCATCACCTTCCCCAGCTCCCAGTGACACCAGGAGGGCAGAGGTACATGACCGCAGATTCATGATAAGTTTGTCAGGGGCCCTAGAGCTCCCAGACACTGCTGCCAGCTGGGACACACAGGTAATAACAGGGCTTCAGGTCCCCCAGCCCCAAATACATTCAGACATTTCCCCCCACCTAATCTTAGTCCTCAGCATTCTTTAAAGAATCAAATGAATTAGAGAGCCCTGATTTGATGGGCTACATCAACTAGCTGGAGAAAAGATGCCAGAACTTTGGGAAAGTGCACGGAAGCAATATGCAGATTTGGAGGTGAGTGAGGGAAAGGACTCTTGCTTATCTTTGGAGGATTAGGTTCTGAAGAGCAGGCTGCAACCTTTGAAATGCCAGGAATCCAATAAATAAACTACTGAAGGCAATGAGTACCATACATCTCTTATTAAAAATGGATTTCACAGTACCCTGATCAATAGACCAGACAGCAGAAGGGAAAGGAAGTCTGGGCTGCTGTCTGCAATGAACAATTGTTTTATTAAAAACAACTTTTGTCAGACTCTCAGCAACATTCAGTCTTTAAAAGCACATTCCGTTATGCTAAAAAATGTCACAGGGGGATTGAACTGCCACCCAGCCACAAATCAGGTTCAAAGACCTACCCTTTTCAGAGGCAAGTGTTTGCATCTAATCTCCAGCGGGAAGAAGTACCCTCTCTGGGCAGGGCAGGTGGGGCAGCATGTCTGGAAAGGGCAGGCTGTGTGTACCAAAAAGGGTGGATTCTGTTCCTATAGTCTGGGTTTGTGGAGGGTTAAGCCAGGACAAGTACAGCATTTGATTAGAACACACCACCCACACTACTGCAAATTCAGGAGTATTTTAAGAAGTCAGTAGGTTGTACTTATTGGAATATGCATTTCTTTTGACATTCCTTAAAGTTAAGTGCATTTTACACATGTCCCTATGAAAATTTTCTTGACTGTTATGGCCAGGAACTATCTTTCCTTTCCACTTGATTGCCCACTTGTATGGTGCCCAGCGAACAGAAAATACTGCAGTTGTTGCATTCTTAAAATACTCTGAGGAAGTAATTTGAGAAATAGAGGTGTGCATCTTTAAATGCCTGGCAAGAATGGCTGAGCAGATAGGAGTGGTAAAAGAGTATTTTTCAAAATACAAAATAAGTAACATAGAACAAAACAAAAATAAAGTTTATCTCTGCTGAATTGGAAAAGAGGCAAGACATTATGGAATTTAAGAGTGCTGAATGGTGGGTAGGAGAAAACCCGAAGTGTGACTGTCTGAACTTCAGTGCTGGAAACATTGAGTGTTAGATTAAAAGAAAGTGGTAAAAGCATTAAAAAAGCCAAATATTAGGAGTTTGGAGAGCTATGTGGAATCTTTTGATTGTCCTGAGTTCAGATATAACATAGCTCCTTTGCTGGGTCCCCTTGGTGCTGACCAGGAGGTAGGGAAAAAGCAGCACGGAAGGTGCCTGGGGCCCCGGCTGGCAGCTCAGAGCTTAGGCACTGTTGTGCTTCCAGCCTCAACAGGACAGAAGCTCCAGTTTCCCTCCCAGGGCACTGCATAAACAACCAAATGGCTGCAATGGTTGTTGGACTCTGGTTCCTTAAATTCTCGTGGATGACCTCATGGGAAGACCTTTCTGGATTCTTCGCAACAATGTGTGCTGCTTCCTTAGCATTTGCACAGAGCTCAGAAGACCAGAGGGGCACTTTCTGTGGTGACATTTCAGATCTTCAAGACACACACACATACCTCATCTCCATGCATGTTGGCCACGTATTTAAACTCCGGGATCCCGATTCTGTGTTCCTTTGGTGAGCGACCCACAACAAGAACCCACAGGTTTCTGCCTTTACAGGGGAGAAAAAGATAGGGAAATCAGCTGTCTTTTAAAATGACGACCAGGAGAATGAGAACAGGAAACTATCCTGCTTCTCCTACCTGAGTAGTGACTCATGATGACTAAACCTCACGTGACTAACAGCTCCTCGCTTAAAATGTTTTGTCAGCCAAAACGATTTCAATTTAGCACATGTATTTACCCTATTATTTTAGATGGTGACTTTTTAAAAAACAAACAGTTATTAGGCTTTGTACATCTTATTTTTCCAAAATAATTATATACTTTGCTCTGAGTTCCTAGTGCTTTATAGAATCTTGCTAATTCATACAATTACACAAATTACAGTTGATGGTTGATGGTTGGGGGTGGGGTTCAACTCGCAGTGCAAGGAAAGTGAGAAAAGTCACAGGCATAAACATGTAACTCAGAAAGGAGATTGTTTTTAAGGTAAGAAATACTGAACCTTGCACTCAAATGCTGATGTAACAGCTCCTTTGCAGGGAGTGTCCTTGATGTGCTGAGTTCTGTCAAGTAAACTGGGAACCACAGTCCAACCTGATAAAGCTTCAAGGAAAAATCCTAAGTTCTAACGGTCCAGGAGGGTGTGATTTGGGCAAGAAAGGGCAGAGTGACTGCATGTCTTTGACGATTTGCTCTCTGTAGACACTGCAGCCAACATTCTCATTCACTTTAACTCAGGTGATCCCATCATCAACCACCACCAAGATGGATTTTTTCCCCCCTTTTCTTTTTATTAAGGTATTATTGATAGACAATCTTATGAAGGTTTCACAAGAAACACAATGTGGTTACTACATTCACCCTTATTATTGAGTCCCCCACCATACCCCGCTGCAGTCCATCAGTGTAGTAAGATGCCACAGAGTCCCTATTTGTCTTCTCTGAGCTATACTGTCTTCCCCGTGACCCCACACACACCATGTGCACCAATCATGATACCCCACAATCCCCTTCTCCCTCCCTCCCCATCTGCCCTCCCCCACCCTCCCCTTTGGTAACCGCTAGTCCCGTCTTGGGAGTCTGTGAGTCTGCTGCTATTTTGTTTCTTCAGTTTTGCTTTGTTGTTATACCTCACAAATGAGGGAAATCATTTAGTATTTGTCTTTCTCTGTCTGGCTTATTTCACTGAGCATAATACCCTCTTAGCTCCATCCATGTTGTTGCAAATGGTAGGATTTGTTTCTTTCTTATGGCTGAATAGTATTCCATTGTGTATATGTACCACATCTTCTTTATCCATTCATCTACTGATGGACACTTAGGTTGCTTCCATATCTTGGCTACTGTAAATAGTGCTGTGATAAACATAGGGGTGCATATGTCTTTTTAAATCTGAGAAGTTGTTTTCTGTGGGTAGATTCCTACAAGTGGAATTCCTGGGTCAAATGGTATTTCTATTTTTAGTTTTTTGAAGAACCTCCATATTGCTTTCCACAATGGTTGAACTAGTTTACATTCTCCCCAGCAGTGTAGGAGGGTTCCCCTTTCTCCGCATCCTCATCAGCATGTTGTTCCTAGTCTTTTTGATGTTGACCACCCTAACTGGTGTGAGGTGATATCTCATTGTGGTTTTAATTTGTATTTCCCTGATAATTAGCAATGTGGAGCATCTTTTCATGTGCCTGTTGGCCACAAGATGGATTTTTTAATGTAACTACAAATGAGAAAACTGATCTTCAAAAAAATATTAAATTGCTTTGAATCACATTCACTAAGAGGCTTTCATTTGAGCCCCAGAGACAAGGCTTGAATCCCATCCTATTTGACTTCAATTCTAGTGTTTCTTCCACTAACAAAAACTGCCCATCTCTCAGCAGGCTTGGCTTCCTAATCACTAAAGTGAAGAGATCCTTTTCAATTCTAAAAATCACCTGACTCTTCTACTATAAACACTTCAAGATTAGAGATTGGAGAATGTATGTTTGTTATCTATCACATATACACAAAGTTCAAACATTGGTGCTATTTAAGGCTTCTGTGGAATTCAAGAGCCTAGGAAAGGAATTTAACAGCAGTTAATGGGCTATTGTGGAGCAACTTTCAGCAGAATTTCAGATCTAGTACCTTAAATCAGGGGCCTAGCACGCTGGGGGGACATTCAGTTGTCACAAAGAACCCCGAGAGAAGCAGCTACTGGTCTTGGCTGTTTCACCATTGAGTTTCAGTTTATATAAAAATATCTTAGGAAAATTTGTCATGACAGGGTGGTGTTTTAAATGTAGTCACTGCAGGAATTCTCAGAAAATACCCACAAAATGCAGTTTATCTGATGCCTCCTGCTTAGTGTAGAAGCCTCATTAATTCATCCATCCACCCATTCATTTAGTACTACAACCAGACATTTAACCAGTGAGGGGATTGTACAGCTAAGTCACACTCTCTATACCCACTGATTTTCTGATTTAGTGGAGAAGAGCAATGTGCAAATATATAATTACACAAGACTGTGGCATATACAATCATAGAAGTGTGTGTACAGTACTGTTGTGGACATAGAAGAAAAGGGCAGGGGGTGGTGAGAAGCTGTACAGATGTTGAGTTATATAGATGACTTCTGAATGGGGTTTTGAAGAATGACTCTGAGCTTGCCATGTGGACAAACACAATCCATCTAGTGATTTCCCATGGGAACCACTTCATGCACCAGAACCTCCTGTTCCCTGATGGTCCTAATTCTCAGGTCCTCTGGAGCTTCAATTCTACAAAGTTAACATTTTCACGTGAAGCAAGGAAGAACGTATTTTGAGTGAACTCATCAACCTGACTCGTTAGGTTTCCTTCTGAGGAATTCTTTTCCATAGCTACTAATGCTTTTAAAGCTGGAATAATCACAGATTTGCACAGAACATGGTCTAGTCCCCTCACAGACAAAGGGGAAAATGCAATAACACCTCAACACAGTACTCACCACCTGTTTTATTTATAACTCTGCATCTGCAGCAGCTGGCGTGTCACATAAAAAAGAATGTGAGGCAACAAAAAGCTGACTTAATGCAGACATCCGGTATTATTTGGTTTAAGGACGGAGGGAAATCAAATCAAACCTATTTAAAATTACTTTGGTGGGTAATTCAATCTCGAGTTCAGCACAAGTGGCCGCTAAGTGAACTGCAAGATGAGAAACTCACCTTGAATAACCTCCATGTCACAAAGTCTGAGACTGAAAACCAGCCAGGACACCTGGGAGAGATCCCCAGTTCGGAATGACGGGCCTCCTGACAGGCTTGGCCCACCCATGCTCGCGAGCCCTGGTCATCTCCAGCTTAGAGCTGAGTAAATGTACCAAGGACAAACTATTTACTTTTCACAGCCTGATTGCCAACATAAGAGTAATTTAAACAAGATTTTTTGTTCTGTCAAGGTTGGAAAAGCCGCCTTTATTCCCAAAAGTCCTCGGTCATACCCGGTGTGCAAAAGAATTCTGAGCTGCTTGGACTCCTTCTCTTCACTACAAAGTAAATGAACTTGGTTCCCAAAAATTTGGTATTTACATTCCGGAACTCTCTCAGGGCTTGACACAGGTCCCGGGGGTGTGACATGGGCCCCGAACTGGGTTTGCTTGGAGGGTCAGGAACAGTTTCACAATTTAGAAGGATTTATGAAGACCCACATGAGAGGAAGGCAGACAGTGAGTGCTACAGAGCACTGTGGGAGTTCAGGGCAACGCTGGAACTTCCCCTGGAAAATTAAGGATAGCTTCAACAGGTAGAAGTGGCTGGAGTGTCCTCCCGACCTCAGATTCGGCTGGACTCTAGTAAAAATGTCAGTTCCTGTCTCCAAAATCAAACTCTTGAGGGGGACACCTGGAATCTGCATTTCACAGGCTTTGGTGATTCTGAGGCCCATTGAAGTCTGAAATCTGTAGGGACTGAGGCAGTGAGCATCCAGATAGAGCTGGGAGGTAGACGGTCTTTAGGTAAAAGCATCTCATTTTACCTCATTACTCTCATAATCAGGAATGTGTTTCTGTTAACAAATACACCTCGATAGATTTTTAAATGGCTACTTAAAATTTTACCATATGAATGCACTACCACTTATTCAACAAGTGCTCTATTGTTAGATGTCCTATAATAAGTAGTTTTATGTAAATTATGTACCAAATTTATAACATAAAAATATTTGATCATGGGAAAGAAATCTGAATGCAAAATTATATCATTGCAACCATGTAAAATAGATTGTTCATAAAAATAAAAGTATCATGGTAGGAAACAGCTCCATGGGATATAAAGCCTTAAATTAAATAACGGGTTAGTCTCTACAGAAGTTGAAGATGGTGCACTGTCAGTGATAAGGGGCTAAGGGATAGGATGATAACATCAAGTAACTTTTTTTTTCACTTTTCCATCTCTCCAGTTGTTTAAAACAAAAATACCAAAAACTATCATTCACTAAGCACAGACACTATGGGCCAGGCACTGTGTGCTAAGCACTTCATATGACGATCTTCACAACATTTCTGTGTGCTGGGCACCTCCACAATTTACAGTTGAGGAAACAGATTTAAGTAGCAGAACCAGGGTTCAAACCTAGGTCTGATTCCAGAATCGTGTTCTTCTGATGGCCCCAGGCTATCTTGATCTCCCAAAAATACTAGACAGGCCAGAGCCCAACCTGCTTTGGGGGGATGTTCCCACGCAGTCTGGAGCAAGACCCAGGCTGCTGCGTGGCTCTGACTGACTGAGCCAGAGCAAGACCCCTGACAGGGCTGTCCTGTCCGGCTATCCTCTCTGCTCTGAGCGCATCAGGGGAACGTGCCCAGAGAGAAGCAGGGACCCTGCCTAGTGGCCCGTCCCTGGAGCCGAGCTGCCGTGATGACAAGCCACATTCTGGTCTTTCAAGAGGCTTGCTGTATGTACAGCCTGATCCATGGAGCTCTGGAATCCAGCATCACAGATCAGCTGCTGATTTCCCAGACTGGCACATTTCTCTTTGTGTTCTTACACTTACCCTTCGACCTATGTCAGAGCTTCAGTGCCCTCA